TATAGTAGAATTTAAAAGAACATAGATGAGATAAGATATGTGATATTAATTAGTTTAGATTGTGAATATATTCGAAATCAATTAGAGAATAAAGTTATTAAGTTACGATTAATGTGGCAATTAGTTTAGGTAATAATAACAAACTGAATTCTGCGAATGGTAAATGCTAAGTATCCGGAGATGATTAATATGGAAATAGTATAAGAATAAGTAGATGAATTAAAGACAACATGACTTCATTTATCAGTTTGAAATTAAGACAACATCTCTAAAATTGCTTATCCAAGATCCGAATAGACTAAAACCGGGTCAAACCCGGATCCAAAAGAATTAAAGCAAAAAAGTACTGTAAAAATGTGTATGTAGATACTGTTTTTTTTTTTATGACCAATTATTAGATTTATAAAATCGGTCAGTTCCAACAACCGGTATACGAGTAAACCGGGATTATAAGTGTTCTGAAGCTTCTACACCAATCACCAAACACCTCTCCTCACGAAGATCTTCAGCTTCAAGGACTTTGAATCGTCGAATCTCTCTATTAGTTATGATCTCCAACTGATTCTAACTGGGTAATTTTCAAAAACTTGAAAATTGAGTGTTTCCGACCGTCGAATCGGATTCGATGAACTGGGTTCAACGAAAAATCTATCTTTACAACGTCACCTTCGGGCTTTACATGCTTGATTGGTGGGAACGATACCTATTCAGTATCCTTTTCTCTATGATCTATCTGATCTATTTGAACTCTTGTTGCGAATCTTATCTTATTCGGTTAAAAGTTTGAATTTTTGGGCCTGATTGGAAGGAGCTTTAGATGCTGTAGAAAGCCAACTTTTCTTTCTAAAGCCAAATAGCAAACCAATCATTCTTTTACTTCAAAAAAAAAGCTACAGCACACAAAATAAAAAAAAGGAAATATATGGGCTTTGTAAATCAAATTTTCTACAGCACACAAAAATGAGCTTTGGGATATTTTCTCGTTCTTCTCTCTACGGTTCTTTCCTTCTTCTGCTTTCTCGCTTTTTTTTTGGTTATAATATATTTCTAATATTTATTTATTTCCAAAAATTTAAGTTTACATAATAAATACATAAAGCTACAACATACAACTAAAATTTACCAATCATACTTTTATTTTAAAACTCACAGCTACAATTCTACAGCTACAGCAAGAAAATCCACAGTCTAAAATCTACAGCAAAAAATCTAGAGCTACAGCCGTAACCAATCAGGCCCTTTATTTGTTCAGCTTCTTTAGCTACGTTATCTTTTGTTAGAAAATTTTCATTTTGAGATAGAATTGAGCTATTCTGGATTTGATAATGTTAATGAAGTTTCAAAATTTAGAAGTTTTGTCCAGCAAAAACAAAAACCAGAACTCTTGCCATTTTCCTTAACTCTATTTTTTTTCCCAGATTCTTTGGTGATAATCTTGATGTGGTTTATTCTGTACAATGGATCTCGCTATTTTTCAGAGCTCTGCAAGAGGTAAGTTTAATGATATTTATGTGTAGCTTTATTTTGATTTAGGCTTGGGATTTGTCACCATCTCAATTCCTAGATATACTTATATGTTATACTAGTTTCTATCTCTAGTTAGGTGTGTATATGTATCTATGTTCTATTGATTTAGATATCTATAGGGTTTTATTTGTTTGTGGATTTTACATCACATTTGATATTATATATCATCCGATTGTTGGGAACTACATTGAATATATATGATATATGATGCACTCTATGCTATCTCTTTGCTAAGTTAAATCCTTATAAAAAGATATTGTGATGTTCCTTTGATCTTTGTGCTTAAAACGGATTTAGAGGGTTGCGAGAGTTTGCTTACGTATTCGAATGTCTAAGGCAGAGCGATTTCAATCCATCTGCTTAATTCCTCATTAGGCTTCAATAAATGTATATGGCTATTGTTATTGAAGGTCAATTGAGTTTTCTAGTTCGAATTGCCAAATTAACATAAAGTGCGTCTATGACCATGACCGAGTTACAAGAAGATGATTCTTTGGGATTTTGATCTTAGGTTGTGTCAAGTATGCTCAGAAGAAGCATCTGAAATCACTTTCTTGATAACCCTCTTGCGTTGTTATTCACTGCTTAATTATGTTAAATCCTTCCATATTCCACAAGCATCTTTCATGAAACCAGGTCATAGTCATCACGCCATGGAAGCATGAAACCGACATGGTTATCTGAGACGTATGCCAACAAACTCCTTTGTTCTGCTTTGCACCTCCTTCTTTGGCATAATTTCTGATCATGTAACTGTTCATATATCATTTATTCCCATGTATTTTTTGGAATGAACTTCCTTTGTTCGATTCTACTTGCTTCTACTTCAAATTTTGAGACAGGGCCAAATCAACTACTTGCATCTTTTGATGTTTAGAGTCCATGAACTCAAAAATTTTAGGTGTTTTGTGGGCACTTAAAGCTTAACGAATATGATATAATCTCCATTTTGTTTTCATTGATCTCCTGATGTTGTAGTAGTTCAAGTTCCGAATTCTGGATTCGAAAGATTTTGTGTCCTCTGTAGTGACGGGTTTCTAAGAAAGGATACATGTCTATGTGCGAAGGAGAGTCCAAGATTTTTCATTCTAGTCCATAATTGTCCCAGGGTACAAACAAAAACAAATGCAAATCATCCCAAAATGTTTCAAAACTATACTTATATGCAAACCACAAGAAAGAAGCAAAAAGCTATAGAATTTTTTGCAAATATGTAGCAACTAGCAACGTATCGAGCAAGTTACTGTGTCTTGTCTTTTCACCAAACCTTTATAATTGTGGCATTGCTTATGGCAATAGCCGATTTTGTCGTTCGGTATTGTAAATATTTGATTTTCTTCGATTAGGAGTCCATTACATTTTAACCAAGATAAATCATATATTATATATATATATATATATATATAGAGAGAGAGAGAGAGAGGTGAATTAAGAAAGCTTACCTTCGTTTGGGATATAACGAAATGAAAATTACCTTAAACCGCAGTTGCTCGAGTTAAACCGGAAGAATAACCTTTAACCGGTGTTGCTCGAGTCATAGAAAATAAATGTTCTTTAAGGAAACGAAATTCAAAATAAAAACCGGACGAACCACCTTAAACCGGTGTCCCAGCTTCACAATCTAGAACTATGCCATGTGTGTACAACTGTACAAAACTGGGCATTTGAATTTTTATTTTCTGAAACGGATCTTCTTTTTCAAATTTTGAATTCTCTATTTAACGGAAGCAAGTGGTCGTTAGAAGAAGAAGATCGTAAACAAATCTCTCTCTCTCTCATTTTTGTGAAACCCTAAATTTTCTGTTTTTGCAAAATGTCTAAAGAAGTTGAGTACCGGTACTTTTTTTTTCTCTGGCGATCAAAAACTAGAAAGGGCGTGTTCTCTCAATTCGGCTATGGTTATCAATTCTAAGGTTAGTTGCACGAGAAATCAAACTCCCGGATTTTGGGTTCCGATAATTCTGATTCTAAAGATTGGTCTGTTTATGAATTGTGTTTCTCTATTCCTTGACTCGATTATTGTTACACGTGAGATCAAACTTCCCGAATTAGGGTTTCGTCGAGGCAATTCCGATAATCGTGAAATGTTTATGAATTGTGTTTATCTGTTACTTGATTCGATTATTGCTATTTTTACTTAATTTATCCCAATCGGTATGTTAATCTTCCTGTTTTTATGAGTGGAGAAGAAAATAATGAACTATTATAACTAAATTCTAATATTGTAAAAAAATCTGACTAAATGTCACAATTAAATTAGGAAGACAAATTATATAATATAATTTAAAATATAGGGAACTTATGGGTTGAGAAACTCAATTTCCGTTGTTAAGGATAGGATCCAATATAGGGAACTGAATCCTTTATATCAATTCTCTTCGGGTGAACGACATGTGTCCCCCCACGAAGTTTCATATAGTACCATAACAACATAGATTTCGGGTCTCATCTCCAGTCCACACAAAACGAAAGTTAAACTTCAGTTTCTCCCTAAATTGAAAGTTCGAGACCTCAGTCTCCATATATTCAAATTTCGTGGTTTATCATTGGTTTACTGTGCCGAACCCGATGCCAAACCAAAACCCAGAATAATAAACCGATTTAAAACCCAATTCGAGTTATCCCAACCCGAAATAAATACCGTTTGCAAGAATCCCCAAATTGAGAAATCTTAGAACCCTAATTTCGATTTTTTTCTTCTTCCTCTTCGATTTCAATTTTGGTCACAAATCTATGCTCGAATATGAGCAATTCATCTAGAGCTACGAGTGGAGCATCTAGAGCTACGAGTGGACAGAGAAGGAGAGTTGTGGGTGTGCCGAAGATGTGTTGGTGTCTACGAGTGGACAGAGAAGGAGAGCTATGAGCATCTTCTTTGCCATACCACTTCAAGAACCCATCCTTTTAATTGGTTTACATGGGGGAACCGTGATTCTCTTCTTGCTCGTGACCAGAATTCTCTCCTCTCAGATATCAAGAAACTCTTCAATAATTATTACTTAGGGGGTGTTATTGAATTGATGATTTCAGTGTATTTTAAAGTAACTGAATTTGAAAGTACTTTAATGAATTTTGACGAATTCATTGCAATACACGATGGATTTTGATGTACTTTTATGTAATGTGTTTAGATTAATTGGTATGGATTTTGCCCAGTTCTCTTTTGACTATAATCATCATCTTTGCATCAATATAATAAAAAAGAAGAAGAATAATAACTGCTCTGTAACATAAGGAATCAGATATGGTTCATGCTTGTTCAAGATGACGGCAACAACGGTTCATTGTGGACAAGGATCGAAATAGCAACATAATTAAGGAAGTTCTAGTGTTTAGAGGACATGATTTCGACGGAATAGAATTTCATCTTCCTCAGATCTGATTTTCTGTTTTTGAAGTTAGGAACCATGTTCTTCTTCTTCCTCCTTCCCAGCCAAAACCACATCTCTCACTTACTTAGTGCTTTGGATTCTCAGTTAAATGGAAGAGGAAGAAATAATTGTGTGAATATTTATTTTTTAATTTTTTTTCTGTGAAGTACATCAAAATCAGAGATAAAAGGCTCGTATTTGTAAACGGTATTTATCGAAGAGGAAGAAGAGAAAAATCGAAATTAGGGTTCTAAGATTTCTCAATTTGGGGATTCTTGCAAACGGTATTTATTTTGGGTTGGGATAACTCGAATTGAGTTTCAAATCGGTTTATTATTCTGGGTTTGGTTTGACATCGGGTTCGGCACAGTAAACCAGTGATAAACCATGAAATTTGAATATATGGAGACTGAGGTCTCGAACTTTCAATTTAGGGGGAAACTGAAGTTTAACTTTCGTTTTGTGTGGACTGGAGACGAGACCCGAAATCTGTGTTGTTATGGTACTATATGAAACTTCGTGGGGGGGACACAAGTCGTTCACCCATTCTCTTCTAACACAAATTTTAACTAGCCCATGATTTATTTCCTCCATTCCTTCATCAAGCATTATAGTTTCCTCAGTAAACCAAAATGTAAGAATATTTTTGTAAAAAAATCTCCATCTATTTAATGCATTTCTATTGATTGAAATAGGAAATTCAAAAAAAGTGTTTTGGAATTATTTTTGTAAATATCATAAAAGATCCCTCATTTTTGTTCGTTCAAAACTACCAAAATAATCAATTGAAGGTATTCATCAAGATTACGAAGAAGGAAGTGTAGTCTGTCGTGAATCTAGTTAGGGTCGGAAGGAATTGTCAGTTGTAGAATCGTCTATGTAACAGTTCTCATAATTTGCAATTAATAATAAATCTAGACGACAAAAAAAAAAAAAAAACTACCAAAATAAAATCATCACCTATACTAAGAAACTCTCCCAGGCACGGAACCCAAGGCGCCGCTTCAACAACAAAATGAGCTTCTCCTTCCGACTTCGCTCCTCCGGTCACCTCCTCTTCTGATTGGTGTTTGGTACTAAGGTGTGATCTCTCAGGCGAACCTCCGGTGACGTGGCTGTTTTTCCGGCGAGTTTCTCCTGAGATAATTCCCTTCCCTCTATCGGTTTCGAGCCACTCTCGTCGCTTTCCTTTGTCTTCGGTCGCCTTCCTCGATCTGAGGCCTCCTCCTGCACCAACACCTGAGCCACCGTCTCCGCCGGCTCCACCAAAACCACCGGACCCACCAGACCCTCAGATCTGCTTCTGTTTTGGTGAATCTCTTCCTCAGCTGCCATTTTCCACTTTCTTTAGGGCGTTTGACTCGCTCCTCCCACCCTCCTCTGCCAGATCTGGCTTTACTTCGCCGGCGAGTCTCCCTATCCTCCCTACAAAGGCACTCGTTTTCATGGGACTGTTACTTCCCGTCGAGTCTCCCTTTGCAATATGGTTTGGAAAGCTTGGTGCTCGTCTCTGTCCGGCCACAACCCTTTTCAGACAGGTGGGCTATGTCGCTGACGCCCCCACCTTCCCTCCTCAAACGCTTCCCCAGGTATGCTCTTACTCTTCGCCCTCTAATCCCTCTGAGATGGGAATATATTGGATGTTGATTGAGTTTGTAGCTCTGGTCTGGTGGCTTTCGGATCTAGTTCATCGGGTTTCAATGAGCTTGGATACTCTTGTGTATACCTTTGTGTTCTTTTGTAGCACCCATATCGCCTTGGTGCGATCAATTACTGCAGTATGCAGATTCTGTCTCAATGTGGTTCTGTTAGAAAGTTGTCTTTTGGCAGCTTGGACAGGGATCCCTGTTTCAGTACAACTGGCTAGTTAATCTGGCTCATTGGGATTTTACTGCCCTCATCTCTCCTTCATGGAGCTTTTTATCCTCCCATATGCTTCACTTGTGTTTAGTGATAGTGTTACAGGGAGCAATGTTCTCAAGACTGTTCTACTTGAAGTAGAAGCGAAGATTGTTGAAAAAGACTGTTTTCGTTCAGCATTTGCTGACTGTTTGGCGTTAACGACTTTGGAGGCTTTGGTTCCTCCTCCTTGGGGTTTCGACAAGGAATTTCAAGCGTTCGGATGCTCTTGTTTAGATGATATCTTGGTAGAACTTGTTAGTTCACCCTTATCCTTAAGTCTCAATTTGAGCTTTGTTCTTGTTCTTAGTTTCCGCTTTTACTCGATCACTATGTTGGTCGATGTTTTGGCTTTTTCGACTCTTTGTAGTCATGTTGTATCCTCTCTTAATGGAGGTTAAACTATTTCTTTAATTGATATTCTAAGTGCGGTCAAAAAAAAAAAAAATTGATATTCTAAGTTTGTCCAAAAAAAAAAAGAAAATCATCACCTATGTAATTTGCTAAAAAGCCCCTCCGTTAGTTGATTAAAGATGAAAACGCAGCGTTTCTATAAAAACGAGAAAAATCAAAAGCTCTTGAATCCTTTGCTCTTCTTCGCTGTGTAACTTGCCTTCTTCTTCATCGCGATAACTCCTGTTTCTTCTTCTTCTTCTTCTTCTTCTTCTTCTCCATCCGAAGCTTCTATCAATCCTAACCGAAAAGTATGAAATTTATCTGTATTTCTTCTCATTTTTATGGATTTATATATTTTAGGGTTTTGTCCGATTTTAAGAATTTGAGTTTTGAATTTAGGGTTGAGATTGATGGTGTTTGTAGAATCGAACGAACTTATGGTTTGATTTAGGGTTGGATTGAGATAATTCGTTTTCTTTGTTGTTCACAACTCCCATTAATTCAGTTAAATTTGTTTTGGTTATTGATGACTGGCCAGAGACGCAGGAGGGAGAGACCAATCGCCGTTTTTTTCTAAACACTATCCGAATCTTGAGAATTGAAGATTGGGAACACCGAGTGGACACGGTAGAGAGAGAAGGCTGTGAATTTTCAAAGCTCTCAGCTTGAAACTATTCTTCTCTGTTCCTGACTTGGGTTTAAGTCTTTGGGTTGTTCTTCTTCCCGACGACGGTGTGGAGATTATAAAGCGATGAATCTTTCCACGAGGCTCGCTGAGAAACTTCCTGGAATCTTACCGGCGCCGTCGTCTCCTATCCTGCGTAAAGGTTGGTTCTTTCAATCTGTTCTACGTTTGGTTCACGACTTTTTGGAAATTGCTTGTTTGGTTTGGATTTAATTCAAAGGAACAATCTTTCTGGGGTTCTCTTAGTCTCTTTGATTTGAAGGAAACTTCCGTGTTCAGTGTCTATCTACCTCTTATCTGTTATTATCTACCCTAATTAGGTCATAAGGTTCAATATCGAATTTATCAATTCTTTCTTCTCATGTGTGTATTAGGAGTCTCCGAGTTAAGATTCTTTTCAATTGCTAACCATAGTAGAAGATTGAGATGGGGACTACAGAAGAAGATGGTATGGAGTTTGGAGAGAGCTGAAACCTGTGTAGTTAGCAATTCATGTTTAGTTCATCCTGCAACTGAAGCCTATGCACAAGAAGCTATTGAAGCAATTAAATCCGATAAAGTTATCGCTGTCCCAACCGATACTCTTTATGGCTTCGCTTGTGATGCTTGGTAATTTTGAAAAGTCTTCACTTTATTAGCTGAGATTAGCTTTTACATTGCCTGGACTAAGTTGTGATTATGTAATGTGACAGTTCTTTAGAAGCGGTTAACCGAATATATGAGATCAAAGGGCGTAAACTTACAAGCCCTTTAGCCATATGCGTTGGTGATGTATTCGATATCAAGAGAGTTGCTACTACGAATCACTTACCTCACGGTTTACTTGATTCTCTCTTGCCCGGTCCAGTCACTCTCGTACTTCATCGAGGTTTGTATCATCTTCTTAATTTGGTTGCATTGATATGATCTCTTTATGTGAGAGTGTTCTTGTAGTGGTTTTATACAGGTGAATCAAGCATTCTTGAAAAGTCCTTGAACCCGGGGATTGGTACTATTGGAATACGGGTTCCTGATTGTGAATTCATTAGAGAAGTATTGAGAGGTTCGGGCAGTGTGTTAGCTCTTACAAGTGCTAATCTAAGTGGGGACAGAAGCAGCGTTTGTGTTAATGATTTTGAGAAACTTTGGCAGGATCTACAATTGTCGATCTGACTAAAGTCGGAAAGTATAAGATAATTAGACCCGGAAGGTATACAAAGTGTTGATCATTAATGCAGATTAATGGATTTAAAGTTTGAATCTTTGTGGGGTTCTTGAGCTAATTACTTAATAAGATGTTGTTTTTGTTGTTAATTCAGTGCTAAGCAAGCAACAGTGGCAATCCTTGAGAAGTATCTGCTGGAAGAAGAAGACTCTTAAGAGAAGATATGTGTAGTGTAATACGAGAAGACTGTTGTGTTTGAGCGCATGCTAACTCCAATTTTTGGTGGTACGCTTGTGTAATATAGAGGGACTTGGGGGACCGTTTCATAATAATTTACTTGAAGGTTCTTATTATTGGTCCATTTGGAAAATGAAATTGTGGAAAATCTAGTAGTCAGTCTTGTTGTTCTTTTATCTTTATCCTCTTCATTCTTTCTCTAATTCGACTTTTCAATTTCAGTATGAGCTTCTTCTATCTAGAAGAAACAAGTTATTTTGAAGATTTTACTAAAGATTAAGAACTATTTATGGATCTCTTTTCTCTATTACTTATTGGAAAAAGAATGAAATATATTTATTTTCTCCATATCGTTTTGTAAAAACATGTCATTATCAGAGAACGTGCAATTGTTTTTAAAAAAGAGTTAATTCGGGGTTTAAAAAAAAAAAGAATTAACAGAGGAAGTTTTGGTCAATGTTTAAAGTTACAGGGTGAAAGTGTAAAGAGAAGATAAATAGAGGATCTCAGTTATTCAAATTTGACGTGTCCAATGGTGCTCTACTTTATTTCCTCTTGTGCTGAAAATTAATGGTGTGTAAAATGTCAATTCAGACTTGGTCTTTGTCTGTTTGTAACACTAAAAACGTTTTATCCAGAGTTTCTTAAACCAACCAGCTTCGTTTGCCTTATATGTGAAAAACATCAATCCCTCTCAAACTCTTCCTCTCGAACATTCTCTTGTCTATTCTTTTTTATTCCTTGGCTTCAACTGTGGTTTCTCAATTGCTTGATCTTGGCTCGCCTTCAGGTACTGCTTTCATGCCTTTAAGAAATCTCTAAGGGGTTCTCTCAAATTTCTAGATTTAGTTCTTGGATCAGGTTTAATAAAACAAACAAAGATTATCCCTTTTCTGCTATTAGTTTCATCGGGAACGAAGATAATTTAGTTGGGCAATTCTCGGTTTTGGGTAAGATTCTTGTTGTCCTTTTGTTGATTTTGGTTCAGAATCATAATTTAGCTTAAAAGAGCTCTGCTTTATTTGTTAGTATCCATGATCTTCTTTAGTAACCAATACTCAGCTAATTTTGTTTTGACTATGCAGTTACTTTGTTTCACTGAGAAAAATGGCGACTGGAGTATTGCCAGCTCCTGTTTCCGGGGTTCGAAACTCGGGTTCGGTAAAAGTATGAATCTTGTGAGAATTTGTGATTTGACGAGTCTAAGATCTGCTAGAAGAAGAGTTTCCGTTATCCGGAATTCAAACCAAGGCTCCGATTTAGCCGAGCTTCAACCTGCATCAGAAGGAAGCCCTCTCTTATGCATAAGAGATTCATTCAAAAAATTCATCTTTTAAGAGTTTTTCTCGAGTATCATCATATAAAGTTTTAATAATGTAAAGGTGGATCCGCGGATGCATCAAATCTAGTAATATAGAAATGTAAGAAATTTTTATAAATTCTTAACATAAAAAATAGCTTAAGCCTAAAAAATGATATTCCAATAAAAATGTAAAAGTTTAGAAGAAAGTAAATGTAATAATACTAGGATCGGACCCGCGGTCCACCGCGGGAGAATATTGGTTTACATACGTTGCGTTTAATATTGTGTGTGTTTTTTAGTAGAACGAATCGTGTAGTATACTTATAAGTATTCATAATAACGAATTGTAGAAAAAATGTAAAATTGTTTATAAATATACCCATCGTATTAATTATGATTTACAAAATAGAATTTTGTGTTTTAAAATTCTAAAATTAGACGATTCATGGGAATTAGAGCAGTCAAAATAGGTCAAAAACCGCTGGTCGAGCCTACATCATCTCACTATGGGGCAGATTTGGGAAAATATATTAAACCCGCAAATAAGCGGGCCACATGGATTAATTCGCAGTGGGTCATAGGTTTAATCGGTTTTCATCTGCGGGTTGGCGGATCAGCCCGCATATTTGTATTTATCGATAAAATTATAATTTATTCAACATATGGTAATTTAAACAAACTTTTAATAGTATTTTTATTTATTTTTATTTTAGTAGTATTTTAAATTTTGGTTACTTTAAAATTATTTAAACAAAATCCATGGACAATCCCGCAAATCCGTATACATTCGCGGGACGGGTTTGTATTTCATATATGCTACCCGCGGGTCGTGCGGACCGACTAACACAAGTCAAAATATTTTTTGTCTATCGTAAAACGGACTTAACGGGACGAATCAACTCGCTTTGACAGTTCTAATGGGAATATTATTTAGTCATACAACAAAATGAAGTTTGGACGTAGTAATAATAGAATATGTAACTTATTTGTTAGATGAGAGATTGAAAGATGAAGTATAATGATTAAAAATTAATTATTATTTTTCATGATTCACAAAATTTAATAAATACTTATCATCTTGTTGCATAATTATAAAATCATATTCAAAAAATCTTTATAAATTGAAAATTAAACTTCTTTGGTAAGCTATAGGTATGAAAATATCATAATTTCGATTTAATCTAATTAAATTAAAATTAGTTACATGGATTTCATATATATTTAATTTACACGACCAAAATAAAAATATATATTTAATTTATACGACCAAAATAAAAATATCAATTTAATTTATAAAAGAGATGGGTTATTTGTGATAAATTTTCTAGAAATCTGTAGAAGCAAATAAAATATCTTTCAATTAATGATAATTGGCTAAAATGAACGAAATTAATGACAAAAACGTTGATTGTTATGAAATTAGTCCCAAAAATATATGAACAAATTTATTATTCGTAATTAATGTATAATATTGTTCGGAATATGCTTTTATTATTAGTTACCATAAGTACAATAAGATTTTATTTGATTTCCATAAATATTTGATTTTATTTCGATTTTTCATTTTTAATTCGAATTTATATTACAAAAAAATTTCAAAGATCCGATTTCAGAATTTCGGGTCAATTTTCTGATTCTAACCCGACCCATTTTCATTTGTACTTCTCTTTTAATAGTATAGAGATTTTTGTTTATTTTCCAATAAAATTAAGGAAATTATTTGAAAATGGCAAAATTGTTTTGGACTTTTTTAGATATTTAACCGACAACCAGATTTTATTAGTTCATTTTCCAATTAAGTTAGATTAAATATTTATTTCATATTTCTCAATAATATTAGATAAAAAATAGACAAATTAATAACCATAGAGAGAGTATCGCGCGTGGATCTTACTCGCGGCGATTTCTCTCTCAAGCTCATCTTCTTCTTCTGATCACAACCTCGTGCACCGACGGCGGGTTCTCCGTCAATTCCGGTGACGATGAGGACCCTTCGGCTCATGGTTCTTCATCCGTGACCTATTACATCTTCTCAGCAAAGCCATCAGATCAAAATCAAGGGGGCAGTGGAGGGGAGAAGAATCTGCACGACATCAATGGTATGAGCTCTACCGGCGGTGTAGCGATGTAGAGTGGAAGAGGGAGATTTCACGGTGAGGAGCGAGAGAGGAAAGTGGTTAGATCTGGAGACTGGAGATTCTGGAAGTTTCTCGGGATCGGTTTCGATGGGGGAGGTAGTCTCCGATCCGGCGGAGCCAAACCACCGTCGAAGGTCTCCTTGTCTACTCCCTACTGCTTTTCTTACTCATGACTGACCAAGAAATCTCTTCGATATAGAAAAACTCGGTTCTCTTCCTCCTTCTCAAAACAGTTCTACGGTGGCGGGTTGGCAACGGATCTTGGATCACCATCTCCGTTCGGCTAGCGTCGCCCTGGCTCACCGGAGGTCCTGTTCCGGCGAGAATCTGCAGTCTGTGGGCGACGGCTACAACTTGTTTTAAGTTTGTAGATTAGGGTTTCACTGGCCGGTTTAGTTCGGTTTGTGAACCCGGCCGGTTTTGTTTTCCAAATGGTTGAGTTGGTTTTGATGTAAATGGGTTGGGCCTTAGGGATTTAGAATGGGCCTAAATCCGGAAATAGCCCTCTTGGGCCTAAATTTATAAAATTGCATACCCTTAAAAAAAAAAAAAAAAAAAAAACAAATTAGATATGACATGGAAAATGATCAACGATATACACTTTTTTTGATCAAGTAGCAACAACATTATATGTAACATCTCTCGCGTTTATTTCTCGATGCCTTGTTGCAGATACTGTATCAAGTCGTACCCATACGTGGTCCATTTGTTGTAGGCATCGGTACAGACATGGATCATGAAGTGTGCGGCTTCACGCTCACTCATCTCGGGATGAAATCTCTTGCGAAGTTTCTCAATTGGATCTCCTCTGCTGAAGCAAGGCAATCCACTTTCCACCATCATTTCCACTGTACTGATGATCCCCTCCATGTACCGGCGAGCAGCCAAGTAACCCTTCACGCACAAGCTTTACGAGAGAGAGAAAGAGAGCATAGAACAGTCTTAAGAATCCCAGATGGTTTCACTTAAAAGGTCAAAAGTAAATAAAGTGTTGAGAAAGTTTACCTCACAAACTGATGCCAAGATTCGCTCTTCATATTCCCTGATGGATCAAGCAACTGTGTCATTTCGTGGCTCAGTTTGAAATGTGCGCTCTCAAAACGCATGTTTCCACCAGGGGAGGTTTCAAAAATGAAACCAAAATCAATGTGAACAAGCCTTCCCATGCTGCATTCGCAAAATATGTAATTGTTGTTTAATGAATTTTCCCACATAGATTCAGAAGAGAGGGTGTTTCAAGCGTGGAGGTTATCATACTTGTCGTAGAGGAGATTGCCGTTGTGTCTGTCTTTGGACTGGAGTAAAAGACTCGCCACCGCGTAACCAGCACTGCTGGTGAGGAAGTTACCCCTTGCCGTTTCAAAGGAGGGTGAGCCAACGGGTCCAAACTCCTCTTGAAAGATCTCATACAAGCCACCATCGGTTGATTCACCCATTTGACTTCTGCTTCGTGTATTTGGCACTACCTGTTGTAAAAAGGAGAAAAGACAAATAATAAAACTCACAACTCACATTTGGATTGAGAAATGCGAATGAGTTAAGAACATACCTCGATTATCCCCCTCCCTGCCCCAGTTGGAAGTACTCCATAAGGAAAAAGATAAAGATTAAGACCAACCGCTTGAAATATGTCTCTAAGAAGAGATATCACTTGAAGGGCAAGAACATCTTGACGGCAATCATCTCCAACCTGAATACAAGAGAGAATTGGATCACATTAAACACCAAACGGTGCAGCATAGAATCTTCAGCTAACATTGTGAAGGTGAGTGCGATAAGTATTCACCATGAACACATGATTCTTCAGCTAACACTGGCATAGAAAATAAGTCCAGAAGAAAAGATAGAATAAATGGGAGAGGTAACAAGACAATATAAGATTGGGACATGTATAAGGTAAGTGCCTGCAAAGCACTGGCTACCTTTGCTCACTTATGTTTGTCTATATCTACTTACAGAAAAGGAAGCAAAATATATATATGTATTGATTTCTTTTCTTGTATTGGTAACCAACATGTAAACATCACAGGCTAGCAGCTTTCAGATCGGCCCAAAAACTTAGAAAATGTATATATATATATGCATAAGCTAACCTTGAAAATACAAGCCTGTGGTTTCGCATCATTCTGGTTACCATCACGATCAACAACGTTAAAGGTTATCATGATAGGGACTTTGGCAGCTGATTGAAGGGTTATGCCACTGTCTATCTGGATACCCTTAACAAGCTTGTTAGGAGCCGTAGGCAAATAAAGGTCTTCTCCTTGCATTTTGATTTTCTCCAACTCCCTGCCACATAATATATATATATTATAGCTTATCTTGCATGTCAACACGCCGATACCGTAATCTCCAAGTTAAATTTATATACTAGAATACTACCTCCTGATACCAGCTCTTCGTTCTTCCTTTGGAAGAGGAAACAATGCCCCAGAAATAGATGTAACCTTTTCAAAGAAGTCAAACTCTCTTTTGAACATGTCCAAGGCCTTTGGACTAAAACCATCAATGATATGCTGTCGAACCTCTGACAAGATTGCTTGGAATGATGTATTCTATAATATAATAGACAACCCGATGAGCACAAAGTGTTACAACCAACAACACAAAGCTGCAGATATTTTGTCTTATCACTGCTATCCCCAAAATGTTTTTTTAAAGAACAAGCCCATGCAAAAGCAGAACTATAGACCATCATGAAACCAATTTGAATATATTGGGATACTTTGCATGTTCTGAACGATTCAAATCTCAACAATTACATATATTTACTATTTTAGGCAAACAATCAGTAATACAGTAAAGATTCCACACTAAAGTTGACAGTTGACACCAATGCTATAAGTAGGAAGGGGTAATAGTGGACAAACCTTATCGAAAGCACCATCTTTCACAGTTTCCTGAACAGACTCACCCTGGCATTATATTAAGAGAGTTTAGGAATTTAAGAAAAACTGAACGGTTTCAAGAAAATTGATGTCTTTACAAACACCACGAAATTATACTCACCTGCAAATGCCACGTGAGGATATGAGCAAATATGTCACTTCTTTGGGTAGCTCTAAGAAGATACCCTTCAACCAGCCTCTGTTGGCAAAAACGTTATAAAAGTGAGTCAACCTTTTCAAAGCCATATAACCAGTGAGAGGAAAGAACTAGTCAAGTACCATATCACACAACATGAAAACATCAAGCCCCTAGAGATATGAAAATTTTCGCACCTTTTAAAAAATCAATTAGAAAAATTGTACAATTGATATCCTAAAGAAGAAGACCAGACTTGGTTTCTGGAAAAGGTGTGGCTGATAGATCGAACACAGATAAGAAAAATATATGGAAATAATAATTAAAGAGTGATATGGAGATTTTCACTTAACGACCGACTTACCCCTTCATCATAGCGCAGAGACTGCACTAACTGTGGCATGAAGAAAGTGACTCGCTCAGGGGGGTAGGACTCTAAAACTCGCAGGACATATGCCATGACACGAGGATGTCCCTTATAAGTAGGAGTGAGGAACTCAAGAGCCTGTGTAATTGAACAAGCAGCCCAATGAGGCAGCTGTCGCAACAGCACTGAGTTCTCTTCAACGCTTTTAGGTGTGACAAAATATGGCAACGCCTCAGGAATTGTACGAAGATCTACTATATGAGCCTACAAAAAAGTAATGCCGGCCGGTGAGAAATTGAATCTAACATCTGTCAAACAATACAAAAAAATTTTCATAAACCAATCTAATTGTCAACAAATGTTTTAGGTAACTTTGATAAATTAGTCAAATAAAAGTAGCATAAAAGATATTTGGTTTTGGTTTACATCATCCTTTACTGGTTTTGTGGATGTCCACCTCTAACCGCAAACAAATTAAAGTTCAAGTACCGAATGAAATGACCTCTGTAAATCCGTACCTGAACTAGCTGAGTGACTTGGGATTTCACAGCAATATTTGCTGGAAATCTTGAAGCTAATGATAGAGCAATCCTTGGATCCACTGAAAAGGCAGTTTTAGCATGTTCAGTCCATTTCCCAGAGCTTATTTTTAGCCGTGAATATGGACTGTTCCTGTACGTATATTGCAAGTTAGAAGAGTGAATATCAACAGTGTAGGTAAAAGAAAAAACCTAATTAAATGGAAACACCATAAAGAGGATCTGTTACTTTGAACTAATAGGTTGTGCCCAAACATCAAGCCTATCAGATTCATGTTGGCAAAGAATCAGAAGCAGTTGCTTCCTCTTCTCCTTTCCCACTGCATAGCTGTCCATTTTACCCCAGACAGGATGATGATGATGATGATGATCCATCTGCAAATCCATCCCAAATAAATATCGTAGTTTGCATTCAAATACTGCGTATACCAGCATGCATGAAAGTAGAAAAATAATTAAAGAAGCCAATTACCATACCAATTCAGTTAATTGCCCGTTTTCATGAGCTCTTCCTTTGGAATCAAATTGGCTAAAATCTGATCGCTCGTTTAACAAAAACTGAGCAAAAATTGAAACAGATTGAGCCTCACTCTGACAAAAATTCGGAATGCCTACATCGTACCACTCTGGCTGACGAGAAAACCAGCCTAAAGAAGTCCTGGAATAAGTGGAAAATACAAAATTCTTATCAACGCACGCATACTTAAATAAAACGATAATGATAAAGATCTAAGAAACTCTTAATTTAAACTCCACCTGTGCTGTGAGATGACTACCAAACAGTACAATATTATGTTTAGCCAACCAAATCTACAATGTAACCAAAAACAGGTTGAATAACAAAAAGTCACCTGTAGATTCGATCTTCCAACAGTTCAAGTCCACGTCTAAATTTATGCATACTGCCTTTTCTTTGGCATGAGCAGAACTTCAGTCCAAGGAGCATCAAGGAAAAAAAAGTACCAGCTGCTGCCGGGTGGTGGGTAAAGCACCAGTCAAGATTTGTACTCCGTTGAAACAACCGACCAAACAGCAAGAGTTGCTCCACGCTATTATGTCGAACAACCTAAAGAAACATGGAAGGGACAAGAAACACAATCACTCAGTAGGCAATTTGTAATACCTTTACAATAACAACAATAATATCAGTTCAACTAAGATCACAATATATAACTCAGCTACTCGTAACACTACTTTCGTTCATTTTATCTTATTCCAAGACGAAATAAGATTAACCTCCTACACAAAATTGCTATGCATAATTGTATATAGAATAAAGGCTAACCTCAAAGCGATCTATCAAAAATCCAAGCCATAGTCTGTGAGCGACTATTTGATCAACAGGGTCACTATCAGGTGGACCTTCTGGTTCTCCAGGGGAAATCTGGGGCCTTAATTTTGCAGCTGGGCCATAGTATCGCACATCAGATGCAAACAGTCCTCGTTTTGAGTCAATTGTCCATGTCCATGCATCGACAAGTTCGGAAAGGACAATAGATCCCAGTTGTGGAGCTGCGGAAACCAACCAGGTCCAAATGAATACTCCAGTTTCCATAGCATCTGAAGTTAATATATAAGCTGGGCACCAACAAAGGAGACGCAGTAAACGAGAAAAGCCGGCCTTGATATCTGTTTTGGGCTCACCAGCCTGCTGCATCAAAAAAAAATTGTAACGTTATAAGATACTAATTAGCTGGAAGATATGGCAAATACATGTGTTTTTGCTTACCAGATTTGACAAAAGTAATGAAGTTGCATGAGAACAAGTTTCTCGAAATTGCAATTTGTCCACCTCTCCTCCTTTCTCAGCAGTATTAACAAATTGTTGAAGGCGCCGAACTGAATTAGAAATCAACGTGTCATTGCCAAAACTGTTATCCAATCTTACCAAGCCAGCAATGTGTCCGATATGGTTGCACTTTAACATTGCATTAACTACACTAGTACCAAGTATGTCCAAGTTAAAGGCTTCAGAAGCTTTTAATTTTGCCCCAGACGCTGAAACTGCTGCAGCCATCACAGCTGGAATATTTGCTGTTTTTATTCCAGACCAAATTTCAGTTCCAACCTTTATCTCAGTTAGAAGAGAAACCACATCAGTTGTAGTCTGTGTTCGCTGCAGTGTGTTTGCCTTACACAGTTTATCCTGAGATGCATAAAGGAAACTCATTAATTGCAAGCAACAAACACTCTGGTTATTTAAGAAAATAAATCAAAAATTTTAAGCACAATGTACAAACATGAATAAAAAAGAGCATTCAAAAACATCTTTGAGTCACCAGAGAATGAATTCAGAAACATTGAACAATCACACTAGTGGTTTAGAGAGAGAAACAGGTAAAAGGAGACGTCACATCTTTATGCATTTCAAGAAAACAGAGGAGTCCAAACTTTAAAAACAGATTTGGAGACAGACCAAGGAAGTAATAAATGCACTTCGAGACATAAATTATTTCACTGCAACATGTTTCTCGCTCGTATCAAAGTGTTAGTAATTATATCAACTGGCGTAAAGAAGGAAACCTGAAGCAAACCCTGACTAGTGCATGGAGCATATGAAAGTGATATTATGATCCATTCTCGAACAACTTTCTGGTATAAAGATCTAACGGCAGCAGTCCAAGCAGGATCGTTCGCAGCCACTGAAGGTGTATTGTGGGGAACAGAGAATAGCAAACTATCCAGACAAGAGGAGCTCCAGAGGACCTGCATTTCTCATTGTTAAAGGCTAGTCCAAGTTGCATAAATTAAATTCCAAAAGGACAATTGATAAAGGAAAAGTTCCTACCTGGGGAAACTTGTCCCTGATCTGAATCAACAGGTTCACTGAGATATGTCGTATGTGTTCATCTCTCTGTGACATATTCTTTATGAGGAAGCATGCATGTGCGTACATAGTCGATTCCTTAATACTAGCATCTTTCCCAGTGAGAGATATCCGATCTTCCTAAAACCAGATGAAAACGTCCATAACATTCATCTACGGCTAGACTAGAATGCTTACAGAAGCAGAGGAAAAAGAAACAGAAAACAAAAGCTGATACCGGTGACTATTGACATAACGACAAAAATGCTCATATAGGCTTGACTTGCCACCTAATCAATATAACCAGGAAATTACGTACATACCAGCCATGACACTGCTGCTTCAAAGGCTCTATGCACAATTGCTGTCAAACACTGGGAAACAGCAGGAGAGAGATTTGGAGGTTTGAGGTATTCAAAGACGCAACTGAAGGCACTTCGAGAGTCAGACACACTTAAGCCTCCATTAAGGATACCCCCATTGCTAGTAAAACGTATGATCTCCAAAAGGGCTACTGCAAGTAGATAGGTAGCGTTCACCCCTGAAAGAAGAAAGAGAAATGTTTCAGTCATTAGACTAAAACGTTGGATATAAACAACGTTACTATATATCTAAAGCTAGCAAAATTCCACGTAGGACATCAATGAAATTGCCATATTTCTAGAAATCGAATTCAGACAAATTACATATGCTTCACCTGAGATAGTGTTCATTGTTGAAACGTCAACTTGACCACCCAAGGCAATTGAAAGAGCATTTCTTTGGGTTGAAGCTACTATCTTATTGCCAGTTCCTCGGGAACTATCAGAATTATGAAGCGCATTGAGCTCTAGTTCGTCTTCAAGCCATTTTACAGAACTGACGACCTACAAAGAGCACATACACAATCAGAAAAAGTTTATCTTGGAAGATGTAAACCTCAGTATATAGAATGGTTATGTGGAGTCAGTAAATTAATACTGTGGCTAGACTAACTTACAAGGGGAGGAGTGCCTTGAGAAATCCTCTGAACAGCAAGAGACCACTGAGTGTTCCACATGTAAGGCCCTCCTACAGGTCGAGGTTTTAGAATAGGAGGTGCTAAGCCAAAAAGGGCTATATAGAACCATAGATTGCGAAACAGTTTCAAAAGTGACGGTTCCACATTTGAAGTAGGATCTACATCCGAACATATTTCCGCAACAGCAGGAAGAAGAGGACCTAAAAGGTCTGCACCGTTCCTACAAGAAAATGAAGCATGTCACTAATATATAATAAAATTGTTGTAAAAATTAATCCCTCGATTCTATTTATCTTACTGTTGAGCCAAGAATACAATTAATTACTACTGTCAATAATCAATCCCTCAAATGTATTACTGTTGAGTCAATAATACAATTATCGTCAATAATCAATCCATAGGAAAATTAGTTTTATACAAGCTAGGATCAAATAAAAAGAAAATTACCCTTTACTCCTGGACTCAGAAGTCAGGCCTACATCTGAACATAAGGAAAGCAGACGATGGAGATAGTCTGCACGCAGTTTTGTGTTCATAAGACCACTAGCAATTGTAAGAAAGCCTGCAGCAAGAGTCTTGCAATGGCAATTGGATATGTGAGCATTAGTGTAATAGGAAAAAAAAACTCAGAAAATGAACAATGTATCAGACTAAAGTATACCTCTACGTACTCAGTTCGAGATTTTGGTGCTGATGTTTTCCTTTCCACAGATCCCCCTGTCGATATTTGGCTATAGTAACCTCTAATCATCAGAGCTACTGTCTGACGGTAGGACGTCTCAACCCCTAATGTTGCTATCCGAGATACAGCATCAAGAAGCTGCATATAAGTGCCAATAGATGGATAAGTAAATAACGGGAAAGGGCATATACGGTGGAAATTTGTGCCATTGCCAAAGCTTGAGAAAGTTATCACTTGGAAAATGGAACCGTACTTGGAGTTGCAAAGAGAGGGGAGTTGAAGCATCACCCTCTTCTAGGCTTTCAATTAAAAATGGGAAAATCATGTCCGCTACTTCTGACTTTTTAACAGCAACGCAAATATCAGCAAGCAGCTGTACAGGAGGAACTTCCTTCTCTCTACCAACCTGAAGACCAAAGAAAATTAGAACTATATATAATGCAACAAAAGAAAGATGAATGAGTCAGCTGAGGGAAAGTTTTAGAGTAACCTGGTCTTCGTAGTCATTCTTTTCACGAATAATTGAAGCTAACCCCAGGATGAAGGTGTCCAGTAAAGCTCGATCCTTGTCCCAAACAGATTCAATAATCTCACAACTCAATTTACATACACTCTCATAAATAATCCCCTGATTTCTCACCGACTGTTCCAAAAGAAAGAATCATCAATCAGTCACTTAAACTGTACAAGAAGATACATCCGGACTACAGAGGATATGTGACATGATGTGTTCAGTTATACTTCTATAGAGCTCCAGACGCAAACCATCAATAGATTAAAACATGCATCTTGCTTTCGTATGAGTTAAAGCAAAACAAAAAATTACCTGTACACAGACGACAGCCAGTACCATTGGTTTAAGTCGGAAGAGAAACAAACGAAGTGGCTGCCCTCCTGTTGCCACTGCAAGCTTGGCAATCCCAGAAAGCAGAGAACCGAACAGTTCTTCACATGTCTTCATCTTCCGCCAAACGGATTTCAAACAGGCATCAGCAGCATCTAATAGCAATGTAAGAGCCTCCAAGACAATTTTTTTCCTTCCATCTGTTTCAAGGGACAAGAGGCTCTCGATTTCCATTTTAGCTGCGGCCTGATAAACATACATTTTGGCATTGACTATACTTTTCAGAACTGGTTCTTGTTTGAGAAACGCAGGCATGGACTGGAGGTGCTTCTTAGCAATAGATCTGACGTGAAGGTGGAACTTGGAATCGACATTCACTTTACCCAAAATATGAGTTATCAGTTTGAAAGCAATCTCTTGCTGCTCCAAACTCTCGATGGTGTCGTGCTCCAAATAAGCCACTTCTTTCTGTGTAAATTGATGGAGCAGAATCGCAGTCGTCAATCTGTCACCGTCAGACGGCTGAATGGACGGAAAATTCTGAGAAATAGCGACCAGAAAAGCCCTACAGATTTCCGGATCCAAGTCGCTGTCACCGGAGCTCATGATCTCATCCCATCTAAGCTCTGAAACTTTGGTACCGAACTGCCGTGACAGACACGAAACGTAACCTAGGAAACTGCAATAGAAGGCGGAAATCGACTTTAGCGTGAACGAGTAGGGCCAGAACGAACGGTGGAAGGACTTGTCTAAAGTCTGGAAGAAATCGAGGACGACGGATTTTCCATGGTTTTCGGCTGTGTCCACGTTACTGGAGATAATCCGAGCGACGGACAAGACGGCGTTGAGTTGACTCCGAGAAACTCTCGCCGTTTTAGGTTGCGGACACTCTCGGCAAATCCAAATAAGATTCTCCCATAATTTGTTCGGATTCTCTACTATCACGTCGCAAAGCTCCGTCCATCCCTCCATCTCCGACCAGTAACATACACAGAAGCTCTCTAGTCAAGACAAGACAGAACAAACAAATACAAGGGAGCGGGAAATCAGAAGCTATGAGGGAGACGGAATTTCAACTAAATAAATACGTAATCTCATCATCGCTTCCTTTTCCTATTTTAATTTAGACTCTGACTACGTTGTTAATCCTTATAAATTAGAAGAAAACTTGTAATTTAAAATAAATAAATAAACGTGTATTTACCGACCCCAAAAAAGATAATAACTTAAGAAAATTATTTTAATTATATTTGATTATCGTAAGAAAATCAGTGAAGGAAATTAATAGAAAACAGTAAATACTTGCTTTTTTGGTTCAAAGATACACTTTCTTATTTATTTGCTTGAAAACAGATTAACCTAGAATAAGTAAACTCTTAATGTTATTTTATTTTGACTCACTCTATCAAACTCTAACTACTAATTATCTAATGCTCGCGGGATAAGAAGTTGAAGAATGAAAATAAGTACCATCTAATTCGAATTATGATTTAAATAATAAATTTAATATCATTTTAAAATATATGATGAAGTTGAGATTTCGGCTGTGTTGTTTGTTTACATAGGAGATGACTATGGTGCGTAAAGATAACATTAAGTTCCAAGATGCAATGAAACTCCATAGGTGTTCCAGTCTTCAATAATGGAGTGCTTCAGCCTTCCGTTTCTGCTACTGGAATATATCTGGCTTCTATTTGAAGTCTGCAATTATATTATTATTAAAGATCAATCAGAACTAAAAACAAAGTAACTAATTAAAGTACTGGTATTATACAATATCATATTTGGCTCTGTAACAATGGATTTAGGTAATGATGAGCTAGCTAACCTGTCTATCAAGGGAAGGAATTTATAGAAGAATCGTCTTCAATGGCTTGCGTAGCTATTAACATCTGTGAAATCACAAAGACACCTAATTCATGTTCCAGATCTAAACAGATGGCTCAGAGACATAACATGTAAATATTTAAGATTTCAAGTAGGAAATGTTGAATGGATCATGATTAAAGATGGAGAGAAAAGATAGAAATGTATTGATTAAGAAGAAGAAGATACATGAGTAGGCGGCTGTGTGGCTTTATATAGAACAGATTCTAGGTATGATGGGTTACGCACATTACAAGCATTACTACGTGGGTTACGCATATTACAAGCATTACGTCCTCATTCTCCTTTTACAAAGCGCACACTTTAGCCAGCCTTGATACAGCTCACTAACGGTCTTAGAACTCAAGTAACTGTATTTAACATATAACTATTAATTAGTTCATGTTAAATACCTTCTTGATTAACACTCCCCCTCAAGTTTATACTACAATGCTAATTGTGTATAAACTTGGCACTTGCAAGAATAACCTCATTAAAAACCTAAGCTTGGAAAACCACGTGGGACAAAACCAAGCTTAGGGAAAAAGAGTATTATCCCTACAAGTTGGAGAGTCTTTCTCAAGGATGTGTGAGGTCTACAAGACCAAGTTTACCATGGATAAATTGGCAAACTTGGTTACTTGCTGCCTTGGTGAAGATATCGGCCAATTGGTCCGAGCTTTTAGTGTAACAAGGGAGAATGGTACCATCTTCTACCTTCTCTCTTGTCTTGTGGCAGTCGGTCTCTATATGCTTCGTTCTCTCGTGAAACACTGAGTTTGTAGCAATATGGATCGCCGCTTGATTGTCACAATGAAAGGTGATTGGAGTCTTCTGCTCGATCCCAAAGTCCTTCAGCAAAGCCTTTAGCCATGTTAACTCGTTTGTGAGTTTCTTCATAGCCCTATACTCTGCTTCAGCACTCGAACAAGAGACCACTTTCTGCTTCTTCGACTTCCAAGTCACAAGATTCCCACCAATGAATGTACAAAAGCCAGTTGTTGATTGTCTTGTGTTGCGATCGCCATTGTAATCTGCATCACAATATCCAACAATTTCTGTGCTAGAGTTTCTTCCCATCCATATGCCTTTGCCAGGACTTCCTTTGATGTATCTCAGAATTCTCTCCACCAAGCTCCAATGATAAACAGTGGGCTCTTTCATGTGTTGAGCTACCTGATTCACAGCAAAAGACAAGTCCGGTCGAGTATATGTCAAGTATATAAGCTTACCAATGAGTCTTCGGTATTGTTCTGGGCAATGGTAAGGAGTGTCATCTTTCTCCCCCTTTCGATTGACCTTGTAACCTTGCTCCAATGGTGTATCAACTGGTTTAGCTCCAAGCTTCCCTGTAAGTTTTAGAAGATCAAGAGCATATTTCCTTTGTGAGAGAAACAGTCCCTCCTTGGATCTACACACCTCGATCCCTAAGAAATACTTCAACACACCCAAATCTTTAATATCAAAAGCCAAGTGTAAAGAAGACTTAATAGCTTGGATACCTTCTTTGTTACTGCCCGAGATAATCAAGTCATCAACATAGATCAACACTACTACGATTCCTTGATTATCTTGTTTAGTAAACAAAGTGTGATCCGAATGTGACCTTTTGAAGCCTTCTCTAAGCAAGGTTGAACTCAACTTGTGGTACCAAGCTCTTGGGGATTGTTTGAGGCCATATATAGCTTTTCGAAGTCTTAAAACCTTTCCCGTAGCCACTATATCTTCTAAACCCGGAGGAGGTGTCATATAAACTTCTTCTTTCAACTCCCCCTGAAGGAAAGCATTCTTGACGTCCATTTGCCACAATTCCCAATCCAAGTTCACAGCCAAAGATAGAACAACTTTTACGGTGTGTTGCTTAGCTACCGGAGCAAAAGTTTCCCTATAATCCTCTCCATAAGTTTGAGTGAATCCTCTTGCAACCAATCTAGCCTTGTGTCTTTCAATTTCACCATTACTCTTATACTTTATGGTGAAAACCCACTTTGAGCTAACACATCTCTTCCCTTGTGGAAGTTCTTCTTCATCCCATGTATGATTCCGAATCATAGCTTGTACTTCATCATCCACAGCATTAGTCCATTCCTTTCTTTCCTTGGCTTCCTCATAGCTTTGTGGGATGAATTCCACATCTAACTTACTAAGAAAAGCTTTATGTTCCTCGGGAAGAAGGTCAATCGAACATGTCGCTTGAATGGGGTGAGCAACAGCTTGACAATTGAAGAGAACCTTAGGCTTCTTTGCCCTTTTACTTCGTCTTGGGTTTTGTAACGTGTAGACCGGTTCATTTGTTGTTTGAGGAATTGAGTTAGTCTCTTCTTCGCTTGATGATCTAATGACTTCATCTTCACTTAGTGGACCGATCTCTTCTTCACTAGATTCTTCCTCTACAACATTCTCATGGTTACCATGCGACGACTCTATTGGTGTTTCAACTTCACTTTCTTGAGTCCCACTTGTAACTTCGCCTGGTATCTCTTCCGTAGTGTCTTGAGGTATGTTAACATTACCCAAATGCTCAAGAATGTGTTTAAGACTCTTTGCTCTATCCGAAGTTGAGTTAGGTAGGTCCTTTACACTATCCCAATTCTTTTCTCCGAAATAGGCCTTGTCTTCCATGAATTTCACATCTCTAGATACATAGTATCTATTGTTGGTTGGATCAAAGCATTTGTAGCCTCTTTGAGTAGTGGAGTATCCGATGAACACGCACTTGGTACTCTTGGGCTCTAGCTTATTCCTTAAGCCACCTGGAATGAATACAAAACAAACACAACCAAACACTCTCAAGTGCTCAATGTTAGGGTTTTGGTTATTCAATACTTGAAAAGGTGATTGATCATTAAGAACTCTAGTTGGAATTCTATTAATAAGATAACAAGCGGTCATAACCGCATCACCCCAAAACCTCTTAGGCATATGCTTATGAAATAGCATTGCTCGTGATACCTCCATGAGGTGTCTATTCTTCCTTTCCGCAACACCATTTTGTTGAGGGTTGTATGGGCAGCTTGTTTGGTGTAAGATCCCACACTTTTCCAAATGGGCTTTGAGCTTGGTGCTCGTATATTCACCTCCATTATCTGTTCTCAGAATTTTGATCTTTGCATCAAAGTGATTAGTCACATAGTTTTGAAAGTTTAGAAATGCATCATAAACTCTGTCCTTAGATGGAAGCAAAGTTACCCAAGTATACTTAGATTTCTCATCTATGAATGTCACAAAGTATTTATGATTATCTCTAGATGCACAAGGTGAGGTCCAAACATCCGAATGCACAAGATCAAAACACTTCTCATAAATAGCATTAGACTTAGGGAAAACCGTTTTGCAATGTTTACCTAAGATGCATGCTTCACAATGAGAACAATCATAAGATAAACCGGGTAATAACAAGTTCAAAGCCCTAGAGTGTGGATGGCCAAGTCTATCATGCCACAATACAACTGAAGTCTTAACATTATTTGCGGAAATAGAAGAGTTTAAAGAAGTGTCTTCAAGAACATAGAGATCATCCTTGGTGCCTCCTTGTCCAAACACAGTACCGCTCTCAATATCCTGCAACTTAACATCATTAGGACTAAAGATAGCAAGACAATTTAAGTCCTTAGTTGTTTTCTTGACCAAGAGCAAGTTAGAAGTGAACTTAGGCATATAGAAAGCACTAGACTTCTTGTTAAACAAGTTTATGCAACCTATTCCTTCTATTGGAACATTATGACCATTTGCAACCTTAACATTACCTAGTGCCGGTTTAACATTCTCTAATAACCTAGGATTACTTATCATATGATGAGAAGCTCCGGAGTCTAACACTAATGAATTTGAATCATGAGAGTTAGAGGTAAAGAGAGAGATACCGCCGGGATGCAATTTGGATGCTATGGATTGAAGAAGAGCTTCAAGATCGGCCTTGTTCATGGTGATGGTTTCTTGAGCTTGAGAGGTAGAAGTGGTACATCCCTTGTCTTAAGCAGTAGCTCGCATTGCTTTCTCTTGATGTCCATATTGCACAATGGCCCTCTCTTCATTCTCAAGTAGTCCTCTATCACTTGTGTTTGCTACATTAGCTCTCGGCTTGGAGTTCTTGAACTTTTCCGGCTTCAAGTGAGGGTGTAGGATCCAACACTTGTCTTTGAGGTGACCCTTCTTCTTGCAATGATCACAAAACCAAGTCTTTTTATCATCTTGTTTCACCATCCTGACCTTGTTTGCCGTTGGAAGACTCTCTCCTTTGCTACCAAATAGACCTTGCGAACCATACTCCCTTTGTATCTTTGCACACACTTGTTCTAAGGTAGGGATCTTGTCATCTCTCAAGATGTGTTGGATCACATCCGTGTAGCTTGAATTAAGAGTCAACATCAACCCAAAGACAAGATCTTGTTCCCTACGCTCCTTAAGTGTCTTAGCATCCGTAGTGAATGGCCTTAGCATCTCTAATTCAGCAACAAGCGATCTATACTTCCCAAAGTGAGCATTAAAGTCGCTATCTTCTTGACTTAGTTCCCCTAGAGCCTTCTTAATCTCATAGATCCGAGTCAAATTTGATTCATTACCGAACACATTCGCGAGAGTATCCCAAAGCTCCTTGGATGTCTCACAATACGAATACCCTTCTAAGATAAAAGTTTCAAGGGAGCAATGCAAAGCACTAAGGACATTCAAGTCATCTTGCTTCCATGTGTCTTTGTCAATGCTTTCATCCAACTTCTTCAAGTCTTCAAAGGTTGATTCAATGTGCTTTATGAGCCTCCTACTGCCGAGCACATTAGTAGTTGTCCTCTTCCACAAGAGGTAGTTGTTCCCGTTTAGAATCACGGAGAACTTCAACTTCAAATCCTTGTAAGTATCACTCATTGTACAAACCAATTTAATAACCAGTCCAACGTAACCAACGTAATCCCACAACGGGACTTCAAACAAAAATCTCCACCGTTCAAATCCTAGATAAACGGGTCAGGAACAACACTGCAAAATTTCAGCTCAAACCGAGAAGAACTCACCGTTAGATCTTCCAAAGACTCACGACAACTGCTGCAGAAAAATCTGGAAATTTCAGATACGACCAGCCACGATAAAACTCAGATTTCTCCTAAACCAACCGTTGAAACACGATCTCCACCGTTGAATCTCAAGACCACTGAGTCACGAAGCTACCTTCCAAAAATCAGCCAAATCGGAGCTCGTTTGAGTGTCCAAACGATTAACAAAATCAAAAGACGCTCGAGAAAGAAGAATAAGAGAGAAAGCAAGATTAGAAACTAGAACCAAAGCTCTGATACCATGTAAATATTTAAGATTTCAAGTAGGAAATGTTGAATGGATCATGATTAAAGATGGAGAGAAAAGATAGAAATGTATTGATTAAGAAGAAGAAGATACATGAGTAGGCGGCTGTGTGGCTTTATATAGAACAGATTCTAGGTATGATGGGTTACGCACATTACAAGCATTACGTGGGTTACGCATATTACAAGCATTACGTCCTCATTCTCCTTTTACAAAGCGCACACTTTAGCCAGCCTTGATACAGCTCACTAACGGTCTTAGAACTCAAGTAACTGTATTTAACATATAACTATTAATTAGTTCATGTTAAATACCTTCTTGATTAACATAACATATGCGAGGGATCTCTAGCATGAACAAACACTTCAATCATACTTGTACTCAAGTTTTTGAAATTAACTGAAATAAGTGGCAAGACAAACAATAGTAACAAAAGCAGAAAAATCTGGACGAGATGGCCATAAAACCAGACTGAGTTTGGCTCTGCTCTTTGAATGCACGTGGTAAACATAGTTTTTCACATGCATGGAACATAATTTTAGTCAAGTCACTTTGATAACTAGAGAAATCAGAACAGAGAGAATCATATCAGTGCATATGAACAAATATAAGGCATGCAGGCTGACCTGTTGAGCTCCAATCCGGAGAGTTGCTTGCATCTGAAAATATTAGCATAGAACTGTGGTCCGAGGGATGATACAAGCTGCACAAAGTTTAACACCAAAAGCTCGTCATCTATAAAGTTGGTCAGCTTTAACCCTATCGAAATGTTTTTGACAATAGCTTTGGGGGTAACCGTTCCAGTCTTAGTTCACAATAATGAAGTATGTTCGATGAAAGAAGTAGCTTAAAAATCTATCTTCTATTTAGCCTATCACGTCTTTGTTAGTTTGATCAAATATCGTTTCATACCTCTTCCTTGAACCTGGTTCTTTGATCACATCTGAATCACAAAGGAAGCCATCAACTTCAACACTGTGAAACAGACCACATCAACATAAGACCTTGGGCTCTGATACCATATTAGAAAGGACAAATTACAAAAAGATTACAGCCAATTCGTCGATAGAAAATTGCCACATCCTTTATATACTGTAACAAACAGAACTTTACTATCCCAAATATTCTGTAGAAACCATAAAGTGCAAGTAGAGATCTGTAGATTCGTTTACTACTTTAGGAAACAAGGGAATGAATGCAAAAAACAAAGACAGACAGAAGCTTCAATTAAAGTCTCCAATTTCTAACACAACAAGACCATCTTAAAAACCAAAAAGTCCACTTTTTTATAAGAACTTTCTCAAGATACTACTACCAACCATATAAACACCAAAAGTCCAAAGCCCTTTAATCTAAATCCCAACGCGAATCAAAAGATACCTGACACTAGCTGAGCCATCGAATCAAAAGATGTCTTAATCGCCTTCAGCTGCTGCTCGATTCTCTCTTTCTCAACCTTCAGCTTCTGTTTCTCATCCTACATATTGACAAAACACATAAAAAGATTAAATGGAAAATTTAAAGATCTCGCCAGGCTACAGCCATGAGGTTTCAGTCTTGTTTACCTTCAACTCCTTGATTTTCTCCTGGAGGCTTGAATTCAAGTCCTTCAATTTCTGTGCTTCGTCTCTAACTTGATTCACCATGCGAATTGCATCACTGATAATAGCAACCTTGTCTGTTTTTGGAGCTCTCCCAGGTTCCAAGATGGAACTCAATTCCGTAAACCTATAGTTAATGCACAATACGAAAAGATTAACAACTTAAAAGATAAAAGATTTGCAGAGAAGGAAGAGAAAGCAAGAAAATACTTGTCATTTAGCCTATCACGTCTTTGTTTCTCCCTACATGCTTTCGAGCTAGAACCAGCACAAGATTCCGATTTGATCCTGAAGCAATGATAAACATTAGTAAAAAAGCAAGAGCCGCAAGTATTAAGTTAAAGCACAAGGGAATGAATGCAAAAAACAGAGACAGACAAAAGCTTCAATCTTAGTATCCAATTTCTAACACAACAAGACCATCTTAAAAACCAAAAAGTCCACCTTTTTATAAGAACTTTCTCCAGATACTACTACCAACCATATAAACACCAAAAGTCCAAAGACCCTTTAATCTAAATCCCAACGTGATTCCAAAGATACCTGACACTAGCTGAGCCATCGAGTTGATCGATCTGCCAAGGGAAAGTAGGATTGTGTGATCAGAGAAAGCACCATCAATCAAAGGGTAATCACTGAGCCAGTTCGTATTTCTCCAAATACTCACCAATCAACAAAAAAACGGCGGCAAAATTTTCCCAAAAGAAGAAATTGACTCATTAATTGCGACGAGCGACGGAGCGACATAAATATATAAAGAAAAAGAAAGGGAGCATATTTATTATAATATAACTAGGTTATGAACTCCGCAATATCGCCGGAAAACTCATTTTCAACAAATATATTTTATTACGTTTATGTATTAAATTATTATTATAATATATTCAAATCATTGAATTATTATATAAAATTAACTATGTCTTAAAGTTATATCGTAAATATTTTCTAAAGATATTAAAAAAATTTATGAATAAAAATGTAAAAAAAAAAATTATGATTAAAAAAACACTTTTGAAACATTTTTTGTGAATATAAAATTATTTATAAGTGACAAAATAACTAACGAAGAGTTATAATATAGAGAGAAAAAATTCTAGCAGGTCAAAACCAAAAAAATATAAAAACACAACCAGAAAAATAACCGTCAACAAAAAAAGTAACCGTCAATATTTTAACGAAGAGTTGCGATAAAAAGACATAACCGAGAAAAAAATAACCGTCGATATTTTAACGGAAAGTTGAGATAAAAAAAACACAACCGAGAAAAATAATGGTCAATATTTTAACGAAAAGTTGCGATAAAAAGACACAAAAAAAAAAAGTAAATGTCAACATTTTTACGAAAAGTTATGATAAAAAGAAACATCAAAAAAAATAACTGTCAACGAAAAATGTAACCGTAAATATTTTAAGGAAGAGTTGCGATAAAAAGACACAACCGAGAAAAAATAACAGTCAATATTTAAACGAAAAATTGCGATAAAAATAAACAAACGGAAAAAAATAACCATCAATATTTTAATGAAGAGTTGCGATAAAAAGACACAACCAAAAAAAATAACCGTCAATATTTTAACGGAAAGTTGCGTTAGAAAGACACACCGAGAAAAAGAAACCGTCGATATTTTAACGGAAAGATACGTTAAAAAGACAAAACCAAAAAAAGAAACCGTCAATATTTTAACTGAAAGTTATGATAAAAATACACAACCGAAAAAATAACCATTAATGAAAAATTGTAACCGTAAATATTTTAACAAAGAGCTAGGACAAAAATATACAACCGAAAAAAAATAACCGTTATTATTTTAACAAAAAGTTGCGATAAAAAGACACAAACGAGAAAAGTAATGCTAATATTTTAACGGAAATTTGCGATAAAAAAACACAACCAAAAAAATAATCGTCAACAAAAAAAGAACCGTCAATATTTTAACGAAGAGTTGCGATAAAAAGACACAACCAAAAAAAATAACCGTCAAACTTTTAATGGAAAGTTGCAATAGATAGACACAAAAAAAGATTACCGTCAATATTTTAACGAAAAGTTACGATAAAAAGACACAACCGAAAAAATAACTGTCAACGAAAAAAGTAACTGTCAATATTTTAATGAAGAGTTGCGATAAAAATATACAACCGAGAAAAAATAACTGTCAATGTTTTAGCAAAAAATTGCGATAAAAAGTCACAACCGAGAAAAAAATATCGTCAATATTTTAACAAAAAGTAAAAAACTGAAACGAAAAAAGTAACCATCAATATTTTAACGGAAAGTTGCGAGAAAAAAATACAACCAAAAAATAACCGTCAACGAAAAAAGTAACCGTTAATATTTTAACGAAAAGTTGCGAGAAAAAGACACAACCGAAAAATAACCGTCAACTAAAAAATTAACCATCAATATTTTAACGAAGAGTTGAGATAAAAAGACACAACCGAGAAAAAATAACCGTCAATATTTTAACGGAAAGCTGCGATAAAAAGACACAAACGAATAAAGTAACAACCAATATTTTAACGGAAAGTTGCAATAAAAAGATACAACCGAAAAATAACCGTCAATATTTTAATGAAGAGTTGCGATAAAAAAATACACCCAAAAAAATAACCATTAATATTTTAACGAAAAGTTACGGTAAAGAGACACAACCGTTCAGAATTGCAAAATGCATTTATTGAGGTTGCTATTTTGGTTAATAAAACCAATTTGATATGTAGTCTAATGGTTGATGTAAAAAAACTTCGTAGTATTACTAACTATACAAAAAATGCAATGAAATTATATAATAGAAAGACGTAACTTTAAATGAATAAATGCAACTATAAAGATATAACTGTAAACTGAAAAGATACGACTGTAATTGAACAAATATAACCGTAAATAATTCAAAGAGAAAATTCAATAAAAAGACATAACCATAAAAATTAACCGATTTAAACAAAAGGTTGCGATAAAAAGACGCAACCGTTCTGATGTGCAAATGGTATTTATTAGATTGCTATTATATATAGATTAAAGAAAGATAAAAATAAATATGCTCCCTTTCTTTTTGTTTCTTCTTTCTTTAATCATGGTGCACGTGGTGGAGTCGGAGGTTCGAGGTGACGACGACTTATCATACGTACCATTATATCTTTAATTATTTCTAAGACTTTAGTCAACCGCGACTCGACATTGCTGATCCTCTGGAAAGTTTCTTGGATTTGTACGTCGGCATCTACCGGAGGGTTTAATCCACCAATCGGATGGACAAGTAGAACAACATCCATTCGAAGATTATCTCTTTCAATCTCCATTCTTCTTTTGGCTTGTGCCAAGCCATAGAGAAGTCAGAAGCGAAGAGATTCTGCAGTTCCTACTCGCCATATTGAATTTGTGTGCTTTGTGGTGAATCAACGTTACCTATAGGTAGCTAGGTATGGTATATATAGCATCCTATTCTGTTAATTGAATCGGCTTTAAAGAAAACATTTCGATTATTTAAATTCTGTAGGTCTTATTTAAAAGAAAATGAGACCTATACGTATTATTTAAGTGAATTAATTCAAATAACTTAAATAACATTACATTACAAAGTGACTAGCTAGTATTATATAAAAGAAAAAATTTCAATGTTAATATTGAAAGTTATAATTTTAATTAGCGTACGTACGGTATATCGATGCAAAAGCATTGATTATTTTTACTTTGATTATAATATAATTCAAATTTTAACAAGAAAACTTGTATTCTTGATGTCTTGCATGTAATGCATGCGTGTATGTCTATCTCCTCTATATTACTTACCTCGATTTTATTCACTTTTTCTTTTCAATGACTTCTTCAATTACTTATAAACTAGATACTAACCCGTGCTACAGCACGGACTGATGGTTTTTGTAATTGTCGTTACGTTTTTTTTTTTTATTGTGTATTGTGGTATATTTTTTTATCCGGTATTTAGGTGTTGAATATTGGTTTTTGGTCGGTGAAAACTGTAGACATGGCTTGTTTTCTGAAATCGATCGGCTTGTTTTGCAAAATGAGCTCATCTTTGTATTTGTTATCTTACATACAGTTATGTTCGTTTCATCAAAAATGTGGGACTTTGTAAGTTCCTTTACTTTTCAAATTTTAATTTGTGTATTTTAGTTTGTGTAGTTTCTTTTTGTATTGAAAACATTTTATAATAGAATGGAATGACATGGTGTTCAATAGGGGTGGACATAATTCCCGTCCCATCCTATTCTCAGTCCCGAATTCTTGTTCCATATGAGAATTTATTCCCATATGGGACAAACTTTCAATTCCCATTTGAGAACGGGACGGGAACGGGAATTCCCGAAATTCCATCTGAAACAACTTATTTATCAAATATAATATTTTATATATAATTATATGCATATATCCAGTAATAATAATTATTCACCAGGTTAATATTAAATTTTTCGAATTTTTCAAGATAGTAGTTAAGCTACTTATTTTCATATTTTATCATTTAAATTCTAATTTAATTTGTCTAATATGAATCGAAAGTTTTGAATATATTTTGATTATATTATGACTATTTGATTTATATTTAATATATTATATAGATTGATTTTTTTATCTTTTAAATTTATAAATATTAAGTAGCAAAAACGTTTTTTACATTTATTATTCGCTTAGTTTTTTATTTTTAGGAATTCTCGGTTCCGTCCCATCCCATCCCGTCCCGTCTCGTATTTGAAAAAATCAGAAAAATGACCTCTTTTCGATTCTTAAATTCCCGTCCCGTTCCCTTTCCCACAAAATCCCGTCCCAAATTTATGTTTGTCCACCCATACTTTGACAATTACTGTCACTTATGAATTCCGAAAATAAAAAGAAAATTCAATTAAATTACTTCCGCTTGAAGAAAATTTAATTTTAATGTCTCGTTCTGATTTTGTTCTGCATCTTTTTATTCTTAATTTTACCTTTAATGATATACTGATGGAGAAATTTTAGGAAATGGTAATTTATAAATGAATAAATAGTTAAAGTTAATAAATTGAATTTGCTTAAAATCTGTTTGCCGTTTAGTATTAATTGTTTTTAATAACTATGTATTTAATGCGATAATTATGAGATTATATTATATTTAAGAATCTGCCATCAAAATCGATTTATAAACTTATTTTAGGTAATTAAATTCAATTTTGTAATCAGATTATTTTAGGTTAAAGATTTTTCAAAAGTTTTAATATTATACATATTTAAAACGTTTAATAAAGTTAAACTTTTTCTAAGTAAATTCATAAAATTATTATATAAATGTGATCAAATTACATATATATTTTGTTTTTAAAACATTCCTATTGTTGATCATTGCTTAAGTAGTACACTACATTACTCTTTCTCCAATAATACTTTCACGCTTAAAAAATGAGATCAAATCAAAAGAGGATTGCTATAAACTTCTACTTTCCTGCAAGAAAAAATAAACAAATTAAATTAAGAATTATATGGGTGAAATTAAATAAACAAATCAAATTAAATATTGTTACGATCTATTTTAAGTAATCTATATTTATGTCAATGAATAAAAATTAATTATTTGCTAAACTGATTCGAAATTGATTTTCAAATTATTATTCTTTCCAAAATCTTAACTAAAGATTTGAGCATTAAACGTTTTTAAAATGTATTTATAGTAAGTGATTAATTTTTCCTAAAATTTCTATAACAGTTGTATAAAATTCAGTTAGTTGTTTAGGCAAATAATTAATGGATTAAGATCAACGTGATTATTGCTAATTGATCTGTTAAAAAGAAATGTTAGTGTTTTATGTAAAGTTAATATGAAAAGATTTAAAATGATTTTTGTGATTTTGTTTTGTTTTTAGTTTGGATTTTAATCCAACCACTCTTTCTTTGAATTGTTTAAAAGATTGTATAGTAGAATTTAAAGGAACAATAGATGAGATAAGATATGTGATATTAATTAGTTTAGATTGTGAATATATTCAAAATCAATTAGAGAATAGTTATTAAGTTACGATTAATGTGGCAATTAGTTTAGGTAATAATAACAAACTGAATTCGGAGATGATTAATATGGAAATAGTATAAGAATAAGTAGATGAATTAAAGACAACATGACTTCATTTATCAGTTTGAAATTAAGACAACATCCCTAAAATTGCTTATCCAAGATCCGAATAGACTAAAACCGGGTCAAATCCGGATCCAAAAGAATTAAAGCAAAAAAGTACTGTATAAATGTATATGTAGATATGCAGCTTTGTCCCAACCTATCATCTTCTTCTCAATGACGAAGCTGTACCAATGTTTTAGGGTTAATAAATTGAATTTGCTTAAAATCTGTTTGCCGTTTAGTGTTGATTGTTTTTAATAACTATGTATTTAATGCGATAATTATGAAATTATATTATATTTAAGAATCTGTCATCAAAATTAATTTTTTTTTTTTACTTTATGTATTATATGATGATTCAAAACAGTTAAAAACAAATCAAACAAAGATGATAGGAGAATCATAATTATAAATCTTAATCAAATCTTCTAAATATCTAAATTATTAAATATGGAATATCCGGTGTATGAGTTGGGTTAAACATAATCCGATTCAACAAATTTTTTGTGAAGGAATTTTAAAAACGGGTTTGGTATCCGATATACCCGTAAGCATTTTTACCTACCCGTCACCAAAATGTTGCAAAAATACTAGTATAGATATTTAAAACGTTTAATAAAGTTAAACTTTTTCTAAGTAAATTCATAAAATTATTATATAAATGTGATCAAATTACATATATATATTTTGTTTTTAAAACATTCCTATTGTTGATCGTTGCTTAAGTAGTACACCACATTACTCTTTCTCCAATAATACTTTCACGCTTAAAAAATGAGATCAAATCAAAAGAGGATTGCTATAAACTTCTACTTTCCTGCAAGAAAAAATAAACAAATTAAATTAAGAATTATATGGGTGAAATTAAATAAACAAATCAAATTAAATATTGTTACGATCTATTTTAAGTAATCTATATTTATGTCAATGAATAAAAATTAATTATTTGCTAAACTGATTCAAAATTGATTTTCAAATTATTATTCTTTCCAAAATCTTAACTAAAGATTTGAGCATTAAACGTTTTTAAAATGTATTTATAGTAAGTGATTAATTTTTCCTAAAATTTCTATAACAGTTGTATAAAATTCAGTTAGTTGTTTAGGCAAATAATTAATGGATTAAGATCAACGTGATTATTGCTAATTGATCTGTTAAAAAGAAATGTTAGTGTTGTATGTAAAGTTAATATGAAAAGATTTAAAATGATTTTTGTGATTTTGTTTTGTTTTTAGTTTGGATTTTAATCCAACCACTCTTTCTTTGAATTGTTTAAAAGATTGTATAGTAGAATTTAAAGGAACAATAGATGAGATAAGATATGTGATATTCATTAGTTTAGATTGTGAATATATTCGAAATCAATTAGAGAATAAAGTTATTAAGTTACGATTAATGTGGCAATTAGTTTAGGTAATAATAACAAACTGAATTCTGCGAATGGTAAATGCTAAGTATCCGGAGATGATTAATATGGAAATAGTATAAGAATAAGTAGATGAATTAAAGACAACATGACTTCATTTATTAGTTTAAAATTAAGACAACATCCCTAAAATTGCTTATCCAAGATCCGAATAGACTAAAACCGGGTCAAACCCGGATCCAAAAGAATTAAAGCAAAAAAGTACTGAAAAAATGTATATGTAGATACTGTTTTTTTTTTTTTTTATGACCAATTATTAGATTTATAAAATCGGTCAGTTCCAACAACCGGTATACGAGTAAACCGGGATTATAAGTGTTCTGAAGCTTCTACACCAATCACCAAACACCTCTCCTCACGAAGATCTTCAGCTTCAAGGACTTTTGAATCGTCGAATCTCTCTATTAGTTACGATCTCCAACTGATTCTTACTGGGTAATTTTCAAAAACTTGAAAATTGAGTGTTTCCGACCGTCGAATCGGATTCGATGAACTGGGTTCAACGAAAAACCTATCTTTACAACGTCACCTTCGGGCTTTACATGCTTGATTGGTGGGAACGATACCTATTCAGTATCCTTTTCTCTATGATCTATCTGATCTATTTGAACTTCTTGTTGCGAATCTTATCTTATTCGGTTAAAAGTTTGAATTTTTATTTGTTCAGCTTCTTTAGCTACGTTATCTTTTGTTAGAAAATTTTCATTTTGAGATAGAATTGAGCTATTCTGGATTTGATAATGTTAATGAAGTTTCAAAATTTAGAAGTTTTGTCCAGCAAAAACAAAAACCAGAACTCTTGCCATTTTCCTTAACTCTGTTTTTTTTCCCAGATTCTTTGGTGATAATCTTGATGTGGTTTATTCTGTACAATGGATCTCGCTATTTTTCAGAGCTCTGCAAGAGGTAAGTTTAATGATATTTATGTGTAGCTTTATTTTGATTTAGGCTTGGGATTTGTCACCATCTCAATTCCTAGATATACTTATATGTTATACTAGTTTCTATCTCTAGTTAGGTGTGTATATGTATCTATGTTCTATTGATTTAGATATCTAGAGGGTTTTATTTGTTTGTGGATTTTACATCACATTTGATATTATATATCATCCGATTGTTGGGAACTACATTGAATATATATGATATATGATGCACTCTATGCTATCTCTTTGCTAAGTTAAATCCTTATAAAAAGATTATGTGATGTTCCTTTGATCTTTGTGCTTAAAACGGATTTAGAGGGTTGCGAGAGTTTGCTTACGTATTCGAATGTCTAAGGCAGAGCGATTTCAATCCATCTGCTTAATTCCTCATTAGGCTTCAATAAATGTATATGGCTATTGTTATTGAAGGTCAATTGAGTTTGCTAGTTCGAATTGCCAAATTAACATAAAGTGCGTCTATGACCATGACTGAGTTACAAGAAGATGATTCTTTGGGATTTTGATCTTAGGTTGTGTCAAGTATGCTCAGAAGAAGCATCTGAAATCACTTTCTTGATAACCCTCTTGCGTTGTTATTCACTGCTTAATTATGTTAAATCCTTCCTATTCCACAGGCATCTTTCATGAAACCAGGTCATAGTCATCACGCCATGGAAGCTTGAAACCGACATGGTTATCTGAGACGTATGCCAACAAACTCCTTTGTGCTGCTTTGCACCTCCTTCTTTGGCATAATTTCTGATCATGTAACTGTTCATATATCATTTATTCCCATGTATTTTTTGGAATGAACTTCATTTGTTCGATTCTACTTGCTTCTACTTCAAATTTTGAGACAGGGCCAAATCAACTACTTGCATCTTTTGATGTTTAGAGTCCATGAACTCAAAAAATTTAGGTGTTTTGTGGGCACTTAAAGCTTAACGAATCTGATATAATCTCCATTTTATTTTCATTGATCTCCTGATGTTGTAGTAGTTCTAGTTCCGAATTCTGGATTCGGAAGATTTTGTGTCCTCTGTAGTGACGGGTTTCTAAGAAAGGATACATGTCTATGTGCGAAGGAGAGTCCAAGATTTTCATTCTAGTCCATAATTGTCCCAGGGTACAAACAAAAACAAATGCAAATCATCCCAAAATGTTTCAAAACTATACTTATATGCAAACCACAAGAAAGAAGCAAAAAGCTATAGAATTTTTTGCAAATATGTAGCAACTAGCAACGTATCGAGCAAGTTACTGTGTCTTGTCTTTTCACCAAACCTTTATAATCGTGGCATTGCTTATGGCAATAGCCGATTTTGTCGTTCGGTATTGTAAATATTTGATTTTCTTCGATTAGGAGTCCATTACATTTTAACCAAGATAAATCATATATATTATATATATATATAGAGAGAGGTGAATTAAGAAAGCTTACCTTCGTTTGGGATATAACGAAATGAAAATTACCTTAAACCGCAGTTGCTCGAGTTAAACCAGAAGAACAACCTTTAACCGGTGTTGCTCGAGTCATAGAAAATAAATGTTTTTCAGTGGTACCAATTATTAGACCATGTTAATATGAAGTGTCATCTATCACCCCTGTTATTTGATTTTCGTTTCTAATGTACCTGGATTGACATTTAAACACAGATAAGGAATCCATTTTCGGTGCACAGTGGATAATTAGAAAATATCTATTCACTCAATCTGACTTGAGTATTTTTTTATGCAGCAAGAAAGAGATACATTGAGTCCAAGCTTATCCCAAATTGTTGGAGTCGGCTAATGATAAAAGAGATAACCATAAAAGGTTTGTAGTTAAAACTGGCAACTGTTTCCATATCCCCTTATGTTTGCATGAATTCCAATATATTCTTGTCTTGCAGTCAAAACCGTAGTTCTGTTTCTAGTCTGTGTTTGCAGCAAATATAACATGGCAACTGTCAAATGGTATGCGTAAGATGTTTGAATCTTTTGAGGAGGTAGCACGTGAACGTCATTTTTGTCATTGCTGCGAATGCTCTTTTACAGCTGAAGAAGAGGATATAGCTTTGTTAAGAAGGTTACACAATCTTCTCATGTTTTTGCCTTATGATTCAAATTATTTTATGCTTCTGATATAACAGAATGTCCCTTTATTTGAGTACGTAAATTTCTTTTCAAATACAGCAAAGGGTAAAGGATTCAAGCACGGGGGAACATCTTAAAGTATTAGCAGTGGAGTCTTCCTTTGCTGACTCTGTATTTCAGCAGCTAGACAAACTACAGGCAGTTTTATGTGTATGTCTGTAGGTATTAGGATTCTCTGCCCAGATAAAAGCTGGCAAAGACTCAATTGAAGCACTGGTGCAGCCCTTGGAAAATGCTGGCAGGATCTTTCAGGAAATCGGATTCTACCAAAAGCAAATTGAAGATATTGAATATAAGCTCGATTTCAGGGATCTTGGGGCTAAAACTATGGAAGAAATCCAATTAAAATTAAGCCTCCAAAGCAGCAAGTAAGTACTCTGAATTTATGCAGGGTAAAACATATTTCTCTTCCTTGGACGTTGCTTAGTCTAGCAGACACATTTTTCCAATATTTTCTTCCTAATGTACCCTTGAACAGGGATAAATTGCACGATGAGCTGGAGAAACTTGGAGATGACCAGATTTACATGGAACATATATATCATGCCTCCAGGGAAGGTGGCATGCAGTAAGGGAGGAGCTAAGGCTCGTGTTATGACTACATAATATTGTGGTATGATTCTCTTATTGTTGAATTCACATGTGCTAATTGATTCCCTTATAAATGGTTATTGTGATCAGCTTTGTCCTTCTTTCAGACTTTTGTGGTGTTAATATCTTATTCTTCTTTTCATTTTTAGCCTACCGAGATGGGTCTTGAAGAGATTGAAAACAGTAGGATCTACTGTAAAACAAGAAACTATATCTCAATTAAAGAGCTCTGTATGAAAAGAAAAACTTGAAGGTTTGTTGAAGGGCTTGAAGACTCTTTTATTCTCAAATGCTTCTCTCTCCATCACTAGTGCTTACCTCTTTCTATGTTTATCTTTTTGCCTTTTGCTTGAGTGGTTAATCTCATTTTTAAGTGGTTTTTCATCAATTTTCATTACACATAGGATAAATCTGTTGTGCAAGGTCCTGAATTTGATATGAAGAACCACTTAAAAATGAGATCAAAGCTGCATAAGCCTATGTCACATAAGCTCTTTTTTCTTAAGTATTTATCAGTTTCGTGATTCTTTTGCATTAAATTGCCGTGCAGTAACTTTGATTGTGAACAAAGAGACAGAAGGTTTACAAGAACTAGACAAGTCAGTGGAAATCCTGGTCCGGTTTATTGTGTTCAGTTCCTGGTGGGAATGAGAAAAATGGGCAGGTATGATTGTTATTCCGTCTGATATCTTCTTATATGTATTTCTAGAATTATACTCCCTAAAATAATCTAAAGTAGTACATGAGCATATTACTTGGAATGCAGGTTCATCAACAAGTCATTGAAATCATCACTGACATATCTTCGACTGCGGAAAAGTTTCTAAGAAGTGTGTCGTACTTTGCATTACAGGTTAGTAATATGAAGAATGCTTCAGTTGATGAAAGCTGTATTCTGACGTTAGTTATATTTTTTCTTGCATAATTAGTTCTTAGCTCATTTTCCCGAGTTTTTGTATTAATTTGCAGGCACTAGTGATCGAGATGAAGATATAAGACGCGAGCCTCAGCTATAAAGTGCCCTACTGCTTTCTGCGAAGCAGTTGGTCCTGATTTGTTTCGAGTGGTATGTCCTAGTTCGATAACTTTTCTTTGACTTTTATTTTAACCTGCTCACAATGATGATCCATGGATGTTGTTTGTAGCTTTACAAAATCATGAAAGAGAACTAGAATCCCAAGGTTCTTAGTGAAGGCTTGTTGTGGATGGCTTCGGTAATTGATGACTTTGGTGTCTCACTTCTGAAAACTTAAGGTTTTGAATTTTTCTACTCAGAAATTTCCATCCCTTGATTTCCGTGTTTATAAAAAAACTGCAGTATCTAAGTTATTTTCATTATGAATAAAGAGCCTTTTTGTCTATTTGGTAGATATTCGGAAGGATGTTGGGCTGCAATCTAATATAGCTGCCACCAGAAATGCTAGAATCAAACTTTTGGGTGCTTTAAACAAGTTTAATGGTCCAGGTGACTATGAATTCTGTAAGCTGCTTCTGCTTTGTCTAACTTCCGTTTGTTAGAAGAACATATCTTAATAACTGAACTAAACTGTGTTATTTCTGGTTGCAGATAATGAAGGGTTCCGTAATGATGTCAAACCTACACTACTAAGTAAACATGATGTCGAATATGAGAAAACCTCTTTGGGTTGTCTAAATTTTTGGATTTCTTGTTTTTTCTTGTTGTACTTATATTCTTTTCATCAGGGGACTGCGGCTCCAAAGAGAGTTGTATTAAGACGTCGGTTTCAACATCAACCTATGCTGGAGGTCAGTAGCAAGATTAGCCTATTCTTCATAATTTTTGGATTAGCCTATTCTAAATTTTTGGATTTCTTGTTTTTCTTGTTGTACTTATACTCTTTTCATCAGGGGACTACGGCTCCAAAGAGTTGTATTAAGACGTCGGTTTCAACATCAACCTATGCTGGAGGTCTGTAGCAAGATTAGCCTATTCTTCATAATGGATATGAGAGTCCTAATTGGAAGGTTCTGTACAAATTGGAAACCTTCTTTTGTTGTCTAACCCCTATGGAATATTATTTTAAGCTTTAGAGTTGAAATTGAGTTTTTTTTTAACTTCTGTAGATGAGTTGAAGCCGTAAATGTTGACTCCCATTAGAGGTATTGCCGCAGCTATGAGGCCAGCTATTGAGTAGGCGAGCAAGGTTGGTGATACGTGTCAAGCATTAAAAATAATTTTACACTGTAAAATATCACTGCCTGCCAGTTTTACCAAATACTTGAGTGATCTACTTCAGGAAATTCTATCTGATGTTCTGAAATGTCTCGGGGACAACAAGAAGCACATGAGGGAATATAATTTGACTGCTCGTGATTCATTGCTTGGTGTTATGCATCTTAACAAAATGGTTAGTAATAATCTTTCTTATACGATTCACACAGATTTCTCACACTTTTCACACTTCTCACTTCAAACATTAAGGTAAGATTTTAAGTTTTATTTTCTTCATAATTTTGTTTATGAAATTCAAAAGACTAATTATAAATTTTTTATTTGATTAAGGAGATGGATAATGGATCGTGGAGTGGATATATGGCGTATTGTAATGAACGTGGGTTTGCTCCGGATTTGAATCTTGGGCCAAATTTTGGTTCCAAAACCCAACCACCGGATGATTTTCCCATAGAGGACACGGAAGTTCCGGAGACGGAACCAATAGCGATGCCTACACGGAATGATGATGCAAATCCACTCGATTCTATGACGCTAGACCAATTACTCCGTGCGCCGGGTCGAGATAAATTGAAAAAGATCGACCCAAGCCGTATGAACGGAACAACTTGGTAAGAAATTGTAATATTTAATTTATAGTTTTACGTAGATAATCTCAATTAAATAATTTGGTAATTATAGGTATAGATTCGATAAAGGATTCACAAAGATTATAAAGAAAATCATGGAGAGCGATTTCCCCGATCCCGCTCCGAATCTTACGTCGGTCTCCGGAGACACAAAGAAACGTTGGTTTAAGGCATTTGCGGTTAGTTTATTTAAATAAAATTTATGCTTTATTTACTTTGTTTATAATTGTAGCTAAAAAAATTAAATTTTAAAATTTTACAACACTAAAAATATATATATTTTAAATTGTTTAACATTGTAGCAAAAATTTAATTGGGATTATGGTCTTACGGGCGAAGTACAAGAAAAATTTGAGGAGATATGTGGGAGTCGTTTATTGGATTATGTTTATGGATGGAAAAAGAAATGGCTTAACGGGAAAGAAAAGCCAAAATGGATGCGAGAAAACGTTTGGCAAGGGCTTATTGCATATTGGTTACAAGAGCAAAATAAGTCCCGTAGTGAAACTAATTCTCAAAATCGCAAGAGTGAACGCGGAGGCTATGGCATGGCTAAACATACTTGTGGATCAATGCCATATGTCCGGAAAAAGGAAAAAATGGTAAATAAAAATTTAAATTTTTTACATTTCAATTTGCATTATAATAAATTTTATTGTAAATTTTTAACTAATAAATATTTTAAATGCAAGCGTAATCCCGAAACCGGTGAGTATCCCGATATGGTAACATTCATGGAGGAGACTCACAAACGGAAATCGGATGGGACATTTGTTGATAAAAAAGCTGAGGCAATAGCTCGTCGATGTCGGGAGATGGAGAAAGAGAAACTCACACAATTGAGTCAACAATCGGACACGCCCGATGATTATCAACTCACCCAAGCAGAAAAAAACGATATTTTCCGATCAGTAAGTAATTGTAATTAAAATATTATAATTTAGATAATATGTTTTATTTCCTAACAACATTTTCATTATAATAGCAAGTTGAAGTTACAAAAGGACGTAGATTTGGATTCGGTTCCATTCCGTATGATGAAGACATGGGCGGAAGTTCGTCGTATTCACATGCACACGTGAATTGTCAAGAAAACGCAGCCGAAATCATCGAGTTGAAGACTCAATTAAAAGATTGTAAGTTTTGGATGGATATGATGGCCCGTCTTCATCCCGACATCGTTCCGCCTTCTCGCCAAGATCAACCCGGAAATCAAAATGAAACAAATAACGTTGACACTCTATTTGATAATATATAATATTCGCGTTTGTAATAATTTTTAGTTGTTTAAGAACTTATTAATGTTTAATTATGTTTTTTATATTATGTGGTGAATTTTATTTTTTTTAATTATGTTTTTATTGAATTATTACAATTAAATTAAATTAATATTATTTAATTTAATTATTTATAAAATATAACAATAAAATATAAATATATTTTTTAATAAAATATAATATTTCGTCGGAAATTCATCGGAAAATAATAAAAAAAAATACGATTTGTCGGAAATTCGTCGGAAACTATTAAATATATTATTATATTATATTTTATCGGAAATTCGTCGGAAACTATTAAATATATTATTATATTATATTTTGTCGGAAATTCGTCGGAACGTTCCGACGAACTTCCGACGATTTGTGGTCGGAAAATCGTCGGAATCGTACTCGATCTTGCGGCGTCGTTTGTAGGAATCTCCTCGGAATGGCGTCGGAATATGCCGTCGGGATATCGTCGGCAATTTTCCGTCGCTATTCCGACGGACATTTCCGACACCTTTCCGACGGGCTTTCGACGAATATTTCCGACGATTTTCCGACAAATATTTCCGACGAATTTTCCGACAACTCATCTCGACAGAAATTTCCGACGAATTTCCGACGAATATTGTTTTCCGACCAGAGAATTCCGACAAACTTGTTGTAGTCGGAAATTCGTCGGAAACATCCATTTCCGACGAATTTCCGACTATTTGGTTTGTCGGAATTTGCTATGTTTTCTTGTAGTGTTAGGCATGTCTTCTGTTTGTTAATATAATTTTGTCATTTTAACAGTTTTTTTCTAATGCATATTCCTAACATATGGGAAAATGGGAGCAGAAGGTCGTAAAGATCTTTTTGATTAGTTGAAAAAACAGCTTGTTGGATTAAGTGACTTGGTGGATGCTATACATTACTGAAACCTATAAGCACTGCAATGATGGTGACTTATCTAAAATTGTTATACCGCCGCATCAGCTTTAATGAGTAATAACATCTATTTGTAATGATTTCAATTTGTTTTGTTTCTATGAATCTTTCCAGGAAAAATCAGCAAATGTGCATAAAAAACAGTCAAGACGTTTCAGAGATCTTGAGAGTCAGCAGACAAGAAACTGTAGGTATTCTTGTGTTAGCTTGTTCTATTCATTGGCTAGAACCCAAAATCTGATTAGTCGTGTGCATTTTTCTCAGATTTAAAAGAATATCAAAGAAATCTCAAGCCCAACAGCTTGAAAAAGTAAGACCAAGATTTGTTCAAGGTAACTCTCTAGTCTCCATGATCTGGTTGTCTGATTAAGATGTTAATTCTCTCCTCTCCATTCCCTTTTTCTGTTCATGCTAACGATGTGGTTTTTCCTAACCATTTGATTTCAAAAGCTTTGGCATGGCCAGAGTGTCAAAAGGTGATTCAAAGATTTCAAAATCAACTTCTAGTGGTACATTGAAGCAAGGAAATAGGTTAGTAAGTTTCTGGCTCTTAACATATTTTCTTATGTAATCAATTTGTATTTTGTAATGTGTTGGCCAAAGATTAGAAAGGGTGATATTTGGTGGCTGAGTGATAGATTTGTTGGTAAAAAGAAATTGGTATTTAATTCTCTAATTAGTTTTATTAAATCTCTATTTCAGAGCTATAACACTTAAAGATGCAAGAGATCAAATTCAAAGTATGGAATCGAATTCTCGAAGAGTTCAGAGAGGCAAAATTTTCTTTATACTTCATTTTAAGGTAAGTTGTTCATCATGTTTCTTTATCACTAAGAGTGAAGTAATTTTCTCTTTTGTTGTTCATAATTGATATTTCTCTTGCTTCATGCATATGTACAGGTCTTTGAAGAGTCAGGTAAAATCTATGTCTCTCTTCTTAGGGTAAAAAAGTTAACACAAACACCGAACACAATTAAAAAAAAAAAAAAAAACTCACGAAAACTCACAACACAATCACAAATACATAACAAAAAAAAATCAAACAAAACAAAGACTCCACAGAAGAATCGACAAAAACTCCACAAACTAAAAACTTCACATGCCACGAAACACAACACAAAAATCGACAAAAACTCCACAAACTAAAAACTTCGCATGCCACCAAACACAACACAAAAATCGACAAAAACAAACAAAATCCACACAAACTAAAATCTTCATTTGCCACGAAATCCAACAAATTCACCATCACCTGAAAGTAGTTTAATGCTGTCTATTTATAATGCCAATAACAATTCATAAACATTTATGCACGATTTTATTGCCATATTGGCTCATTTTAATACACTTTCCTCCTAAGTACTATACAAAATTTCACATTATTACTTTATTTTTCTCGATGTGATTCAGTGTTTGTAACATTGTTATTATTATTATTTTTTTTTATTTTTTTGGTAATTTTAGTTGATGAAACAATTGTAAAATTAACTTCTCTGGATGTAGGATTTTGTTGTAATGTGATATTTATTAAATAACAAAAACTTTTATGCAAAGAGGTTTATAGCAACTTATATGTTTTTCTTTATACTGCCATCTAAAGAAAATAGATGTCCATAATAAAATAGCAGCTGAAATTTGAAGGACAAACCGAGACGAATCCCAAAACGAAAACAGGCTTATTGAGAGGAAGAAATCGAGGTTAATTTGAAAATCGGAGATGAGTGTAGACGAAGATGAATAAATTGAGAAGAAATTTTCTGATTTCTTATTCTAAGACACTTTTAAACTTAACCGGATCTAGCATTACGTTAAACCATCCTTAACCATACATTATACCGATTCCCTAATCTGATAAGCATAGGCTAGCAGTGAAAAATTTGGAAATTGTCGAGTAAACCTAAACCAATTTTACGTTAGTTTTGGTTTGGATAAATTCAATTCAGTTTTTGTTAGATTAGGTTTAAATTAACTAAATATAGGACACGTAAGACCATCTTTATCAATGGGTTCTTAAGAAAATCTTAAGATGATCTTAGTAATTTTTTAGTATTAATACTAAGAACCAAAGTTAAGATGGGTTGAGGGAGTTGCTTACCTAAGAGCCAAAAAAAGGTAAATCTTAACTTTGGTTCTTAGTAATAATACTAAAAATTTACTAAGATCATCTTAAGATTTTCTTAAGAACTCATTGATAAAGATGGTCTATTCCCTTAGCAAATAGTGATTTTGACTTGTCTTTAATCGCTCTTAAACTAAATAATCTAATTGGGCTACAATATTTTAGCTTACTTATTTATGGGCATATATTTCTTTTTTTTTTTTGATAGGAATGTGAATATCATAAAAATGACGGTTGACTGATTTTTCAGCCCTTAACTATTCGCAAACTCAAGGTTTCCCCCTATACTTTTTTGCTCTTAAAAAACCACCAACAACTATCAATTTTCTTAAACAAACACCACGTACTTTCGGATTCAGCTTGAAAAATACGCCTCCAATTGAACCGGCCATTAAACCGGGTTTAACCACAAATCCGCGTTTACTGTACCGCGATTAGGATTACCCGTATGATTACCCATGATCCGTTAAGAAAACGACGTCGTTTCACTCTTCTCTCAATTTCCAAAAACAAAGCCAAATGACGTCGTTTTCTTAACGGTACTCCGGCGTAGAGAGACACGCCTCTGAGACGATGTCCGTCACCGAGAATTGCATCCGCCGGGAAATTCCGATCGATTGTACTAGCACCAACGGTGGTTACCCACGGTGCGAGGTTTGTAACTGACATACCGTTAGGTCCTTCGTTTCCGGCGGAAGAAGAAACGGAGATTCCTTTCGACGCGGCGCCGTATGAGCCTATAGCGATTGGATCGAGGTAATACGGAGAAGTAATCCCGTCACCACCACCGATTGAGATCGATATAACGTCGACGCCGTCTCTACTAGCCGCATCAAAAGCGGCGAGGATATCGGAATCGAGACAACCGGATTCTTTCCAACAGACTTTGTAGGTGGCGATACGTGCTTTAGGAGCAACACCTTTGGCTACACCGGAGGCGTAACCGGACATACTCGCTTTGAAAGCATGACGGCCGGTTGAGGAAGTGTGAGTACCGTGTCCATCGGCGTCACGAGGAGATAGAAACTCAACGGTTTTGTTGATTCCTCCGATTACGGCGTCTTGTTGCCCTTTAGCGAAGAATCTTGCTCCGACGATTTTTCGGTTACAGTTCCAAGGACCAAATCTTGCTCCGGATTCGCAAACACCTCTCCACCGTTTTGGAATTGGACCGAGGTTGAGATATGAAAAACTCCTCCTCTCTGGCCAGATTCCGGTATCGAATACGCCAATGATTACGTCTGATCCGTAATTAGATTGAGAGAAGAGTGAAACGACGTCGTTTGGCTTTGTTTTGGGAAATTGAGAGAAGAGTGAAACGACGTCGTTTTCTTAACGGGTCATGGGTAATCATACGGGTAATCCTAATCGCGGTACAGTAAACGCGGATTTGTGGTTAAACCCGGTTTAATGGCCGGTTCAATTGGAGGCGTATTTTTCAAGCTGAATCCGAAAGTACGTGGTGTTTGTTTAAGAAAATTGATAGTTGTTGGTGGTTTTTTAAGAGCAAAAAAGTTTAGGGGGAATCTTTGAGTTTGCTAATAGTTAAGGGCTGAAAAATCAGCCAACCCTAAAAATGAAGTGTGAGGTTTTACAAAGAGCTTAACCTATAAATGTAAACTTGCCAAAAAAGAAATAAAAAACAAAGTTTACAACCAAATGTTGAGTGTCAATCAACAAAACTTATCTAATCCAACGAACCATTAGGTCCCTAAATAGTTTTCGGGTCCGTCTGGCAGAGATGGTGTTTCTCACTTCCTTGTCGATGTCGTTGAAAACGATTGCCGGAGGAAGAGAAACCTGATTATGAAGCAAGTTGTTCCTTTGCTTCCAGATGTGGTACACTGCTGCTTGGGCCGCAACTTTGCGAAGTATAGGCGGGGCAGAATCTGATTTGTTCTTTGTCCAAGCAATAAGAGATGACCAAGTGTAGAAGATGCATGGAGATAATCGAAGCCTAACCTGGAGATAATTCCAAATTTGTTCGCTGAACTCACACCTTAGGAGCAAATGATCCCTTTGTTTCCTCAAAATTCGAGCACAAGCAACAAACAGAGGGGATTTGCATTCCCCAAGCGACAAGCCTAGATCTTGTCGGAAGTCTGTTGAGCTGAGCTACCCACTGCCTTTAAACCAGACAGAAGAAGCCCAGTCCTTTAGAGGAGATCTCAATCTTACCACTTCCCAGGTTTGAGCAGTTGGAAAAATGTGAAATCCGGAGCTTCCAACCACCCAGCTGTAGCAATCTTTCGATGAAGGGCAAAGAGGCGTTGAAATAGTAGACAAGTGAGCATGGAGAGAGACGGCATTTTCAGATCTCGGAGAAGCTAATCTCCATCCGCGCTCATCATAGGCATCTGCAACAGAGGAGTTTATGGGAATCCGGAGATCACGTGGCCCATCATCACCAATGAACTTAATTAAGGGGCCAAGAGGTGTCCTGTTATCAAACCAGAAACTAGCTCTGAGACCATTTCCAAGCTTACATTCAATGAAAGATTGAGCAGAATGTCTTAGCTTTAGCAACGACTTCCAGTTCCAAGGATCACTAACAGAAGCAGTGATAGACCATAAACTGTTACCTCTTATATGATGGTAATGGTGCCAAGCCACCCAGAGGGAACCACTTCCAGAAAATAAGAGCCACAATAATTTTAAACATAAAGTGGTATTCCAGGTGCCCAATCTTCTAAGACCCAGACCACCTTAAGCTTTAGGATAGCAAACCTTTGACCAAGCTACTTTTGAGCCTTTAAATCTGTCAATTTGGCCCGACCACAGGAATCTTGCACACAAGGCTTCCATCTTTCTAATACAGGCTTTAGGGAGAATGAAAGCAGAGCACCAAAAATTCACAAGCCCGTAAATGACTGATTTTATTAGCTGGAGTCTGCCCGCGTAAGAAAGAGAAGAAACAGCCCAAGACTTGAATCTCTTGGTTATTTTTTCAATGAGAGGAGAGTATTCGGACACTCTAAGCTTTCTACTCATCAGCGGCAATCCCAAGTACCTTATAGGCAATGAGCCAATAGAGAAACCTAAACCTGCAAATTCAGCGGATTCTCTAGGATCCAGACCAGCGGTAAAGAGTTGAGTTTTGTCACAATTCATTTTTAAACTTGACCAGCTAGCAAAAAGATTCATAGTGTCAGAAATGCCATGAAGAGAAGAGGAAGAGCCATCAAAAAAGACCATAATATCATCAGCAAACATCAGATGCGATATGTCAAGGGCTTGCGTTTTTGGGTGGTACTTGATAAAACCCGCTGAGAATGAGGAGCTCATTAGCTTGCTGAAAACCTCCATAGCCAGGACGAACATATAAGGGGAGATAGGGTCCCCTTGTCTTAACCCTCTAGAACTCTTGAAATACCCTGAAGATTGACCATTAACCATAACAGAAAACTGCGGAGTAGATATACATTGGTTAATCCAGCCTATGAACTTTTCTGGGAATTGAAGGGCTCTCATCGTGGCAATGATGAAATCCCACTTTACTGAGTCAAAAGCTTTTCTTAAGTCAATTTTTAACATACCTCTTGGACCAGTATTCTTCCTGCTATAACCATTCACAAGTTCGGTAGCAAGTAGCACATTCTCCGCAAGCAATCTCCCCGGAAGAAACGCAGATTGGGAGTTACAGATAATGGAGGGAAGAATGGCTAGCAATCTTCCAGCTAGAAGCTTTGAAATAACCTTGTAAATGGTGTTACACAAAGAGATTGGTCTGAAGTCGGAAACAGAAGAAGCGTTTGGAATTTTGGGTATGAGAACCAAATTTGTAGCGTTCATCTGATGCAACAATTGACCAGTCCTGAAAAATTCGCTCACTGCTTCAATGACCTCTGGGCCAACAACTGACCAACAACTCTTGAAGAACTCCGCCGAATAACCATCAGGGCCTGCCGTTTTATTCCTGGGCAGAGAAAAAACAGCAGCCTTTATATCCTCATCTGAGAAACTTTTATCCAAAACTTCATAATTGAAGCATATATTTCTTAATTATATAGTTTACTTCTATTCAAAATATCTAAGTATCAAATTGTTGGAACTTCTCTTTTCGGCGACTATTCCGATAAAGTCCGTCACCGGAATGATCTGGATTCTTTGTGATGAGCAATACAAGAGACTCTAGTTACATGTAAAAATTGAAGTTATATTGAAACAGAAATTGAGGTGCAAAGTAGTTAGCTTGAAAGCTTATAATAACAAATATGTGCATTTGTCCCGCATTAGAAAGATGATATATTTACCTCTAGTATACATAGTGTTACACTTATAACAAGGTTTACTATCTATTAGGAAGGGGACACTATAATGTAGGAAATGCATGTGCATTATAGAAAACAAACCACACGTGCGTGACACTGTGCTAGGCCGGGCTTGGATCTTGTGGGCCAAAATAAAAGACGTTCGTTTTGGAGAAAATACTTATAAGACATTTTTACACATTTGTCACATAATTTTTTTGTCTAAAAGCGAAATCAAATTTTACATAATAAAAAACATATTCGTGGCATATTCCAATATTCATTAATTGAATTTAAATTCCAGAAATGGAAGTGGTTATGCCTTCTAAAATCATGAAAACTCTATGGTAAGAAAGAGAATCAAATATGGACTCGTATAATCCAAACATGGGTTTCTAATATGTTAGTTAATTTAGAAAAATATAAAAACAAATACGATAAACTAAGGGATTTGTTGATTAATTTAGAAAAAGATAATAAACTTTAGTTAAACAATTAGGATAAATATAAGGATTTTACTTTCTTTTTTCTTTACTCTGCTTTTTTTGAAACTTTTTATACAATTTTTTTCCGCAAGATTGCAAGTAATTGTTATTAAGTTGTAATCTTATTTTGAAATCTTGGCTAGAAGCATTGATTTTGAAATCTTGGTTAACAATTTTAGGGAACAAAAGCGAAGAAAAATGTTTTACAACTTTTGTTCGAAAGAAAAATGTTTGCTTTTACAACTATTATATTGTTTGCTTTTTTACTTTTCTTTTCTTTTAAAAATAACGATAATATTATTTTTTTATTTAATTGAGGCATTTTACTTTTAATCGTTTATGATACTCGTTAATGTTGGCACGATTCTGGTGAGCTGGTTGATTTGAAGTACTGTCATGATACGTTTTATCCTCTGCTTCTTAATATCTTCCAAAGAAGTGATTCGTTGATTGGAACTATTGCGACCTTTTCTTCCATAGAGATGGACCTTCTTGTGTCTCTATTTGAGCCCTAAGATTGTGCTGCAGCGTATTTTTCTCATTAAATTTTCTGGTTTTCTCAGATGTTTTCAAGATATATCTAAAAGAGCTGATGATAAAAAATTTGAAGTACTCACCTTTTTCTATTTTGGGATTCACAGATAGTCTTTGTTATGTTATGGTCGCTAACATCAACCTTTATATGGAGAAGTATGAAAGAGATCACTTTGCAGGGTATGTGAATAGTTTTGTGAGAGCCATCTTGACACTATTCATACATTTGTCAAATTATGTTTACAGTGATGAAATTAAATAATAATATTTATTATTTTATTAATTTTTATAGATAATAAACTTAAGTGAGAGATTCGCTAATGCACATGTTCTAACCGTCTCAAATCTCATTGATATGTCTAATTAAACAAGTAATATACAAATTGCAAGAGAACACATAACACACTAGATCTCAATTGATATGTCTAATTAAACAAGTAATATACAAATTGCAAGAGAACACAACATATTAGAGAAATTCACATGTAAATGAAAATGGTCGAGTAAACCCAATTTTAAATATATTTTGGTTTGGATAAATTGAATTCAGTTTTGGTTAGATTCGGTTAACTAACTTAACCACTAAATGAAGGACACGTAAGTTCTTCACGAACCACATCTGTTCCCTTCAAAAAAAAATCTCCAAGTCCTTCACTCTTCTCGTCTTTCTCTCCATCTTCCATATTTGCAGAGCTCGAGATTCTCCTTCCTTATACAACTCTCATCTGTAATCGATACAGGTTCTTCTCCTACCTCTTCTCTCTGCTTAGATTCTGTATAATCTCGGTCGGTGCATGACTCTGACTGGGTTTTCTTCGGCAAACTCTGATTTCGTCGTTTACTGTTCCTTTGATCTGTTCCTTTGATCTGAGGATTATTCGTATATTTACTGTTCCTTTGATCTGAGGATTAGGTTCTTGTACTTGTAAGAGTCTTGCTTGTTCTGTCTCATCGTTCATGGAATTTGCTATAGCATCTAATTACTTTTTGCTTCGTTGATGAAATTCAGATGGCAGCTTCATCTGCTTGTCTTGTGGGAAATGGATTGTCAGTGAATACAACAACCAAACAGAGGTTAAGTAAAAACTTTTCCGGTAGACAGATTGGTCTTTCCTCAAACTTTTCTTCAGTGATTAGGACATCTAAGGTTAATGTAGTGAAGGCTTCTTTGGATGTGAAGAAGAAACATGAAGGAAGAAGAGATTTTCTTAAAATCTTGTTAGGAAATGCCGGGGTCGGTTTGGTTGCAAGTGGGAAAGCAAATGCAGAGGAACAAGCGGTTTCATCGTCTAGGATGTCGTATTCTAGGTTTCTAGAGTATTTGGATAAGGATAGGGTGAATAAAGTTGATTTGTATGAGAATGGGACTATAGCTATTGTGGAAGCTGTTTCTCCTGAGTTGGGTAACCGGGTTGAGCGTGTTCGTGTTCAGCTACCGGGATTAAGTCAGGAGCTTCTCCAGAAGCTTAGGGCCAAGAATATTGATTTTGCAGCACATAATGCTCAGGAAGACCAAGGTTCTGTGTTATTCAACTTGATTGGTAATCTTGCTTTCCCATTGCTTTTGATTGGTGGTTTGTTCCTACTTTCGAGACGCTCTGGTGGTGGAATGGGTGGACCTGGAGGTCCTGGTAACCCACTTCAGTTTGGTCAGTCCAAAGCAAAGTTTCAAATGGAACCAAACACTGGCGTAACATTTGATGATGTTGCTGGAGTTGATGAAGCAAAGCAAGATTTCATGGAAGTGGTGGAGTTTCTGAAGAAACCCGAGAGATTCACTGCGGTTGGTGCCAAGATCCCAAAAGGTGTTCTCCTTATTGGTCCTCCTGGTACCGGGAAAACCCTTTTGGCAAAAGCCATTGCTGGTGAAGCTGGTGTACCTTTCTTCTCCATCTCTGGTTCTGAGTTTGTTGAGATGTTTGTTGGTGTTGGTGCCTCAAGAGTCCGTGATCTTTTCAAGAAAGCCAAAGAGAACGCTCCTTGCATTGTCTTCGTAGATGAAATAGATGCTGTTGGTAGGCAAAGAGGAACCGGAATTGG